TCCGAGCAGCGAAGGCGTTTGATATTTATTCGGTTTTCCCCAGGTTTTTGTCGAGCAGCGTTTGAAAAACGATATACGGAGACGCGTTGTTACCTTGTACCACGCGCTTTCTGGTGCGTGCAATGCAAATCCGCATCCAATCCAAATCCAATGGAGCGTGCAGCCCCGATCGGGAGACTCTCTCTGTGTTTCCCATATTCTTATGTTTCCATGTGGGTGTGCAGGTTTGCTTGTCGCATTCGCCATGGATTGTGGGTGGCTAAGTAAAGTTGGCGGCGATCTGGCATGGAGGTGAGCTGGAAAAAACACATATATAGCCAGTTTGGAAAAACAAATAGTTGAAAAAGGGGCATTTCCTGCAATAAAATATAGTCAAGAATAAGAATTATATTTTCCTTATGAACTATCTTATTGGCTCTTCAAATTGTGAACTATAATTAACCGCACCTTTCTGTAAGTGGCTGGAATCATTGGTTGTTAATTCGGTGTGGTCGCCATTCCTGCTCTTGTCCCATTTCACTGCGATTCAGTACGAGCCGAACGAGAGCCTGTGCCTGTTCATTACTGATTTCATTGTATGGGCGCGCGGTCAGTTTTGGATTGTTGTTAAGTAAGTGTACTTAACCCACATGACTTGCGGTTTTCGCCTTTCTCGGTCTGGGCCAAGAGTCGGTTTCTGGCCGTGGCTGTCATCACTCAAAAAGGCCAAAAAGCTGTCATTGCCTGCGATCTGCGGCCACAGTGCGTATGCGTGCGCAAAGAGATTTCTTAACCTTGAGTGACTTTGAGCGTTTCTCAACCAGCCAGCCATCCAATCCATCCATCCAGCCATGTTTATTTATTTTTCCCCCTTCGGCTTTGCGTTTATTAACCAATTTTTTTCGCTGATTGTATTTTGGGTTTATTAAATTACGGCCTGCACGTGTGCGTGTTTGCGTACTTGACTCTACGCTCATTTCCTTAATTAAACACTTGTTTCACGGTCCGTTGACCAATCCCGCAAAGCGAATACGTCGATTCGAATAATATTTTCAAAATTAAAATGGCAGAGATTAGCAAAAAATTAAGTTGATGAAGCTCATTTGCAGAAATAACGATCGAAAAGCAAAAAATGATTACAACTCAAAGATTATGTAAAAACGATCAAAAGCAATTTTTATGGCTGGCAACAGCTTATCAAGTTCGCTCAGAAAACGCTTCATCATTACATTTAAAAAGCTTTATTGCAAAAAATAATGACACGATGTTGATTTATTGTGAGCTATGTTTCCGATTTGATAGTCTTTTGACCACTAATTTTATAAGTTTTAGAGACGGTTTGATGAATGGATTGCTTCCAAAATATAATAAGTTTGTTTCCAAGCTAAAATAAATGGCGTACTCATATTTCCTTCACATTAATAAATAGGAATCCACTTCCTTTGCATATCGTGCTTCAAGTTCTTGTTCTATTCACCTGTTCGCGTGTAACTTTCAGTTTAACCCTTCAAGATGTTTTCCATTAACCAGCCTTGTATCTGGCAGTTGCCATCTATAACAAATAAATTCATGGCTAGGCCCATTAAAAACTTATTATGCTCTTTGTGTGTGCCACTCTTGTTTTATTGTCCATTGTCCGGTTGGGATCTGGACTGGGGTTCCCAGTCTCTGGTCTTCCAGCCGGCGAAGCCACCCACTTAGTTGTGGGAAAAGTAATTTTCATAATTTTGCACTCCGACACCTTCACCTCCTCCTGTTCGAGAATCAGAAGCCACTGTAATACAAAGTCTCGGCTCGTTATGAATTCAGATTTCCATAGCTACTTGGGCTGGGAGCGGTGAGCTGTGAGTTGGAACCCCATATTAAAATGGCACTAATTATGGCAATTTGTTATTGGCCAAACCGAACTCGGGCCAACACCTATGCCATTTCTAAGCCATCAACAAAAAGCAGCCATTAGCTATTGGCCAGATCAAAAGTTTATTAGCGAAAGGAACATGTCTGTGGGGCGGGGGGTGTTACCACATCAAAAATATTGAAATTATAAAAGCAGAAATAAAATAAGAGTAAATACTTCGCGTTAAGTGCGTCGAACACACTCATCGCCGAAGGCCAAACACGCTCTTACACACGCATATTGAGATGTGTAAATTTATATTTATTTTTTATATAATTTACCCCTTTCCTCTTTGGCTGGGGCTTCAGGTACCAGGTGATGATTTGCTATTTGCTGGAAAGAGGACTCGTTTCGGTTCGCCAAGGGTTAAGGAGGGAAGTTGGAAAAGGTTAAGTCGCAGTATGTGTTCATGTGCTACAAATTGAAGGCCTTTTATGGGTGTACCCTTGCCATAGGGGTTTATTTGTGGGTCCAAGAAGCTGGGCTATAAATCAGCCGATTTTAGATCATGTTTTTGTTCCTGTAGAGTCACTGATAGTTGTAATTAAAGAATTTGTTGCCCTTTAATTAGGCAACATTTCGTTAAGAATATTAAATATGACTCATTTACCCATTTAAGTTAAATGTTTTCCATAGATAGAGTAGCCCAAGTTCTTCCAGCGGTTTACAACTTCAGTTTCACTCCTTCATCATTATTTGCTGCGAAGCTTTTCATTTGCTGCTTCCCCTCGTTTTCTCATGGTCCCAGCCGAAAAATGGAGATTCGCCGGCCGCGAATGGATCTGGGGGGCAGTTTAGGGTTAAGTATTGGCATTTCCGACTGGGAGACCGAGACTCGTCTTCATTGAAATCGAGCTCAGACTCACAATCGGACCGGGGACTGGATCCCAGTTTCAACTTGCACACGGCATGGCAATCAAAGCCAGTAAATCTACACCAAAAGCAACAATAGCCGGGGCACCAACAACAACGAGAGCAATATTTGTGCTCATTAAGCGTAACTGACACACGAAGTTTTTTTTTTTTGGGGGGGTTTCTTCATTTCGCAAGTCGCCAAAAACTACGCCAACGGGACTGAGTTTTTTCTGGTAGAGGCTGTGACTCAAGATCTGGCCCCCCTAGTCCCCACTCCATTCTTCCCTCTTGTTTCTTTCGAGAGAAGAGTTGCTGTTGCATTGTTTTTTATACCCTTATACAGGGTATATGCATTTTAGTCTACATCCTGCGTTGAATTGGAGAAATTCTAGAGCTCCGACCCCTTAAATCCTGAAGTCCTGAGAAATATATTAGATCTTTCATCTTTAACTTTCGGTTTTTTTGTGAAAAGGGTAGCTACATTTTCGGTCTTCTGAGATTTTTGTACCCTTTTTTCGCTTTGCATTTTCGTTTTGCTTTTGGCCAATTGCAGGCCCCCCAAACGGGCAGAGAGCGATTGCTATTATTTTGAGGTAATTCGATGATTTACAACTGTTGCCGTGTTTTGTAAGTTTTCTTTTCAGAATGCCACAGATCCCACTGGCCGACCAACCGATCTTTATGTGTGTGTTCAGGCCCCGAGTCTGGGTGCAACAATGAAGGGCCCAACCTCGACCAGGCCCTCGCCACATTCTTTTGTTATTTTCGCAATTTTTCCCCAGTCTCTTATTGTGTTTTTAAGCTTTCTGGTTGGTTTCTGCTGTTACTCCTGCCTAACCCAAAGATCTGAATGAGTTTTGTGTATTCGGGGAAGTGGTCGCCCTTTGTAAATTCTTTCGCGGGCATCTTACATTTCACACCTGTTGTCATTTCTCTCACCCTGATGTGCTGTTTATGGTCAAAAAGGGGAGTCCTCGGACAGTTGGCTGCCAAGTTGACAGCGTAAATAGCTCAAAAAGGGGAAGTCCCTAAGATCTATGGCATATGTCGGCTGTAAATGATATGCAGATGTTCGCTTGGCTGAATTTAAATAAAATTGATTACTTACCGCTTATACTGGGCTCATAATACCTTTAGAGGTTTATAACGACTTCAAGGGCAAACTTTAAAGGGTCTATAAAGGCCGATTTCTCTCATTTTCGCTGTGCATCATTTTAAACTCCTACAGCTTTTCTTAGTTTACAACCTTCTTCTAGCTAATCATTAAACTTGATAATTTTAAGTACTTAATTCTTAGTACCTACATCATAAACGATTACTAGAAGATAAATGACCTCATGTGCATTACTAACACAGCCATGTTGTCATTATGATCAGCCAAAAGTTAGAGCCTTTAAAAATTGTACAAAAAAGTTATTAAAATAGTTTTTTTTTGAAATGTAATCCTATTCAGTCAAAAGACAAATTTTGGTAAGTTGTACTGATGCAACACTAATCTAGTCATTACAAGAAATTGCCCTTTTAAATTACCATAATCATGACAAGCTCTGAACTTTGCAACATTTCAATTTCCCTGCCCCAGAGAGCTGCCACCCATCAAAGCATGAACAATTTCACTTTCCAGATACAAATGTGGTGATATGCGATTCAGTGCATCGGTCCGGGCTTTCGGTTTCCAAACCAGAAGCGGAAGCCTCCGTTTAGTCGACGCACATCTGGTGATTAGACGCTTCAGCGCCAACCCATCCAATCCCAACCAGAAAGCAAAGACCAACGACACATTCCCTTAGCCACACAGGGAAAAATAGTCTGACTTGAATCTAAAATGTACTGACTATTTAGGAATAAAAGAAAAAATCTTTTTAATATTTTCTAAAAGTATAACCTTTAAAGGGCTTTGATGAAAAATGTACCTATCGTAAAAGATTTTAATTTCCCAAAAATCTGTAAGAAAGCCCCTTTTTTCTCCATGTACTGGCGACATTTTGGCGACGCTTCGCTGAATTTTGTTGAGCACTCCGTGGCGAGGACGTGTGCGCCCGCCTCGTGTGCCATGTCATGGCTCCAGTGGTGCGATAAATGCTCATTTCACTTTCTATCAGCGTCTCGCGGCAGTCTAATGGAGGTTTAATTATGCTGCGCTGGCGGCGTGCCCTCGCCTGTCGCATAAATTACACCGAGCAATGCCTTGATTTATTGTTTGCCTATAGCTTTTTTTCCACTTAAGATTTTCGCTAATGCCTTGCCCATTTTTTGTGTTATCTTGCAGTGACTTGACAATATGACTCCGAGGTCGTAGACTCCGGAAAATCAAGGAGAGAGGGCAGAAGAGGCAGAGAAACACCGAAACGACACAAGGCACACAAGGAACCAACACGAAAATGTCCGGCAATCAACAACAGCAGCAGCAGCAACTACAACAACAGCAACAGCAGAAGTCATTAACTAACAACACGGCGGCAGCAACCACAAACGGAGCAACCACTTTGGGCCATAATTTGATAAAAATAAATAGCGTTGACAAAATAATAGGCAAAACTCAGGCAGCGACGCAGGCAATTAACAAACTACAGCAGCAGCAACAACAACAACAACAACAACAACAACAACAACAACAACAGCAACATCATCAACAAATCCACCAGCGCCGCTCTTTGTTACCTTCAACAGGAGGAGCAGTCGCAGCAACAACAGCAACAGCAAATCCCCACCAGCAACACTCATCGCAGCAGCAAAGCGGAACGCCAGCGCCAGCGGCTCAGTCGCCAGCCCAAAAGCAGCAGCAGCAGCAGCAACAATCACATCAATTGCAGACGGTGGCCACGATACACCAGCCGCACTCCACGCAGCAGCAGGCATTGACTTCCCGCCTGCCCATCCAGCAGCAATCCACTAAAGAATTGCCCAATCTAGCTGCCCAGCAGCCGGCACAGCAACGTCGCAGCTTCCACTACCAGTTGCAACATCAGCAGCAATCTCTGCGCAGCCCTCAGCTAAAAGCACCGGCACCCGCCCACTCAATTCCTCCGAGATACCAGCCGCCCCCTCAGCCGGCCACCGGGATCCTCAAGCCACACTTGCCCCTTAAGTATCCACCGGATATCCCCCAGCTATCCAGCATCTACATTCCCGACTCCATCAAGCAGCAGCAGCAACAGCAGCAGTCGCGATATCTGACACACCAGCCGGGAGCGAAGGATATGCTGAAGTTTGTGCGCAAGCCGGACCAGGAACATCCATCGCCCAATGCCTCGGTCACGTCCAGCGGCACTGGAATACCTACGGCCAATGGCGGTGCTCGCCTAACCGCCGAGCAAAACCGCCAGCTGCAGTCTCTGGTCAATGAACTGCGTGCTCTGAAGGAGCAAAATCAGCGCCTGCTCGACGACAACCAGGAGTTGCGAGATCTTTGTTGCTTCCTTGACGACGACCGGCAGAAAGGTCGCAAACTGGCCAGGGAATGGCAGAGGTTTGGGCGCTATACCGCTAGCGTTATGCGTCAGGAAGTGGCCGCATACCAGGTAGGTCAACCGTCAAAGTTAACTTCAAACTGAAATACTAATGCCTTGATTTCCTATCACAGAATAAACTACGTCAGCTGGATGATAAGCAGCAGGAGCTAATCACTGACAATCTGGAATTAAAAGAGCTCTGCTTGTACTTGGACGAAGAGCGTGCCCATGTGGCTGCCAACGCGCTCTGCGCTGGATGCGGAGCCGCCACCAGGAATGCCTTGCGAGATGATGGGGATGGATCCAGCTCCAGCACGAACGCAGATGAGACTATTACCGCGTTGAGAAACTATGCAGAGCAGCGGCAGATACCCCAGGTGAGCAAATAGGAATATAATTCTTAAAAACCTTTATTTATTGGGACTTGAATTTATTTTGAATCAGGATCTACGTCATGCACACACGCTGAACGACCAGACGCTTCAGTATGTGCGTTCTCTGGAGCGTCGCATCCAGCAGCTGGAGGAGGAGCGCACCACGCCCACAGCTCACCTGCAGCAGCCGACGACGCCCACGCCGCAAGCAACGCCCACGCCAATGACCACATCCGCAGGTACACCAGCCAAATCAGCACCATCACCCCACCAGCATCATCAGCAGCAGACCCATCAGCAGCAACAGGACATCGTAGCAGCTGCAGCGGCAGCAGCGGCGGCTATTCAACTGCCGGAGCCGATAGCCGGACGCCCGGAGGCGGTAGTCCGTGCCCTTCAGGTGCTGGAGGTGCGTGAGCAACTGGAGCGCGATCGTTTGGGAAATCTTGCTGGAAGCGCACTCGATCAGATGGACGACGGAGAGAAGGCGCTGGTGCGCGAGATGTGCAACGTAGTCTGGCGCAAACTGGAAGGCAGTCCACATGGACCGGCAGCCCTTGAACCGCTTTAAGCTGACAAGAGAACCAGAAGCGGATGCAACGTAAACCGGGCTAACACCTAGACTGTAAGGTTTAAAGCTAACTTATGCCGTAATATTTAACACTAAACATTGTACAAAGTTCAAACCACAATTAAGTTTAAGCTATCGCTAAAGGCGAAAGAATACTCAAAAAATATTTGGGATATTCCAGCAACTGATTCGCAATGAAGATCAATAAACTGTCAATCTGGAAATAGATTAGCTTTTACCTCTAACACAGTAAATATTTAACTTTTATATCATATTTTATGTTCTTGTTATCATATTTTACATATTTTTAGAAGCTACTTTTATGTATCGCTTGCTTATTTATATTGTAAGATTTAGGTTCAAAATCCAGCTTTAACAGGCCTTAAAGCTGGACTGTTTGGACGCGAATCAGTATCACCTGCTCAACCCCATGACTCCACAGAATCAAATAATCAACTCATTGTTGTTTATTTTCGATTTTGAACTTTCTTGGGATCACTCTTTTTAATTAGTTTGTAACTTTGCTGATCAGTTGATGGAGTATACTCATAATTATTTTTTTTACCTATTATAAACTTTGACTGTTATTTTTGAATGCCAAGAAGAAAACTACTATCATGAAAAATTTGCTAACTCGAAATACAATGCAACAAATATTTCCATATTTATTAATGGACTTTTGATTTTCAAAGTGCTTTAATTGGGATGTTTAAGAGCCAAAAATAGGACGCCGATTCACTGTTACAATCGTTGAAGAAGTATCTCAGTTCTGTAATAAATCTAAGAGCATTACACGCTTTCTACGCTTTGCTGGACCTTACATTATCGTATTCTCGCTTACATGAGTACAAATGTATGTACGTGGTTTTCGGTTCGAGACAAACGTGAATTACCGCAGAGCTGTTTAACCTGATTCTTCTTGGCCAATTTGCCCATATCGTATTCATTGAGAAAGATCGGATCGGACAGGATGATGCGGCAAGAAACTGCACGAAATGCAAGCCAACCCACTTTTGGCCGTTCTGGTTTTCCCGCTTTGGCTGCTCTTTGGCTAATTCATGCATTATCCGCGGTTTCGGTCTCGCCTCGCAGATCCAAGGTGCGAACATGTGAGTTTTAACTTCACTGTCATTAAATATGCAACCTTTCATTGTTTTCCCTTTTCTGTATTCCGTTGGTGCGGATTGGCTTAAACGGATAAGAATCAGTTGAAAGGCGTGTGAAAAGAGATGTGGTAGGAAGGAATCTGGGCTACAAATAATGAAGAACACTGAAGCCGGATTAATACATTTTAAAAAGTATCAAAAACGTGATCGTAATAAAAAATGTGTATTATGGGTTAAGACACTTCCGGTCTTATAAATGACCCAATTTTACAAGCTCTGCCTATGTAGTTCATGGTTCATTGGGTTTTCCGAATGCCACATACCTGCATCTGGCTCCTTGTGCTCCCCCATTAGAGTCTTGTGAACTCCGCTCTTAATACTTGACACACTTCCGAGTCGTCCAATAGAAATGGAACATGAGACCACCGAAAATAGCAAATAAGCGTAAATTTTAGAAGAGAAACCGCAGAGAAAAGCAGTTTTAGACAACTGCAGAGTCACCAGCCAGAAGATCCAGCAGCATCCGCGCATCTCGGAAGATCACTTATCATTCGACTTCGCAGCGAATCGGACGCGCGAATACAAATAATCGGAGTGTGCTAAAAGTAGAAGGAGTTGCAGCTGAACACATGGCATGGCCGTCGATATGGACATGGATACCATAAAAATGCTGTCGACAAGCCAAGAAGAAGCCAACCAGTCCGACTCCAACTGGAAGTCCAATTGCAAGCAAGGCGCGATATTACGAGGCAGAAAATACAGCAGATTCAATCAGAAGAGCAGTGCCAGAAAAAAGAAAGTTATTGGAGCCGGTTGTGGCCACCTGTTACCGTTCCTCGCCGCTGCAGTTTGCATGCTGATCTTTCAGCTGAGGTTGTCTCCTTTAGTCAGCTCCTTGTCGCCGGCCAACGAGACCGCCTGGCCACCCATGCGGCATTACGATATCTGGGACGACGACTTGGGCGAGCCGGGCGATGAGTTTTTGGCAGAGGAGCCTGACTTCAAGCTTCAAACCGGAATACAAGAGGAACTGGACTTGGAGATGGAACAACAGGACATCTCTGATCGGAGTTCCAACCAGACAACTAGCAGGCAGGGAAAGGGTAAGCTAAAATGAACTAAAAGTTTTAAAAACTAATATTTCAGTTTAAGCGAATTAAAAGATTTAAAAATTAATAAATAAACATAATTACAATTTAATTAAGAAAAGGCTCTTCTCATTGCTCTATAATAATTAAATATTATTTATAATGATAGGAGTTAAAAATATATTAGTAGTGTCTTAATAAGTTATTTATCGTTAAAATATTCGACATACAATATATATATTCCTTTTTTCAGTGATTCACCTATTCCCGGTTCCCGTTGATGGTGACTGCATGTCGAGCGATGGTCGGCGGATCGGCAACTGCCTAAATGCCTACGAGTGCCGCCAGAAGGACGGACAGGCGAAGGGAGAGTGTGCCATGGGATTCGGTGTGTGCTGCGTATTCTTGGCCAGCTGCAATACGACGATAACCAACAACATCACCTACATTGTATCACCGGGATTCCCCAGTTTTATGCCCAGCAATTTCAGTGGATGCAGTTTGCGTGTAAAGATGATGAGCGATGACATCAGCCAGGTCCGGATCGACTTCCATCACTTTACATTGGGTCAGCCGAATAGAAGGACTGGCGTGTGCGAAGGGGACGCGTTTAGCATAGGCGGAGGACCAGGTGGAACATTCTCTCTTTGTGGGCAGAACAGTGGTCAGCATTGTAAGTGTATATATATGCTTCTTAAAGTTTTCCCTAAAGTCCCAAATATTCAGTGTACTACGACGTGGGGGCCAGAGCATCGCCAAGGCAATCTACTTTGTACGGAAGTTTACGTCCCGTGGATGCAAGTAATAGCACCAGCAACTCCACAACAACGGGCGATCGCTTCATTGACATCAATCTTAATCTATCTAGTCGGGTCCTACCTCTTCGTATCTGGGAGATGAGTGTGGTCCAAATCCCATTTAATCAACGAGCTCCGGCGGGTTGTCTTCAATATCATACCGGAGTTGAAGGCATTATGCAGACCTTTAATTTCGCCGAAAATGGACGACATTTAGCAAATCAGAATTATCGCATTTGTGTACGACAGGAGGTGGACATGTGCTCTATTATGTACCAACCATGCGATGAGCAATCCTTCCGAATTGGCGGTGGCGGACGAATGGCAACCCGTGGAGGTGAAAGCGTTGAAGGATCATCGACAGTTTCTAGTTCCGCTGTAGCCCAGTCGGATATTGCGGGTGCAACAGCCACAGCTGGGAGTGCACAAATGACCACCTCAGCTCCAACTTCTACTTCTACCCTTATGCAGATGCTGGCCAACATGGCAAACTCGACCACGGCAACGTTAATGACGATGATGACCGGAAATTCCACCGCAGCTGTTAGTACTGCATCATCTCCTAGTAGCAGCACGGCAGCCATGACGACCACATCAACCACTCAAACACCGCTCCGTTCCAGTACAGAGGCTTCAACCACCACGGAAGCACCTTCACCTTCGCCAGCCAACGACGATGTAGAGGGTTCGGGTGGCGAGGACGGAGAGGCTGGCGATGATGACGATGACGGGTTCCTATTCTTCAGGAGTCGACCCACCACAGAGGAACCGGGCGTATCCAGACGTCCACGTCCAAGTGGAGGCTTCGACATAATGGGTATCATTCGCAATGCTCTCGACTTGCCGCTTAAGTGGAGACGTCGCCAGGCTCGTCAGTTCTTCAGCACCTGCTCGGATAGAATTACAATGCCGTGCATCATAGAGGATTTCATAGGAACTGGACTGGGCCCTCTTCCCGGATGCGAACCAATACACTGTGGAGCCCAGTTCTGCTCCTCGGGTGTATGGCCATGTCGCATTGAAAGCACTGTTACTCCGTTTTATATAGGTGTTCACTTTGGCAATGGCATGGGCGCTGGAAAGGCGAATGCAGAAGATAATGTGGGAGCCTGCCTACGCTATTCCCAGGTTCAGTGCATGTAAGGATTAGCAAGTTAACCAAAGTACATTTAGTTTTAGAGAACTGAGAGCGTACCATAAGTTATTAATTTGCTTCGAACTAATTATTACCATTTAGCTTATTTGTTCTATTAATTAAATATAGTACACATACTGACTATTACAGTTCTATTACCATTTTTGTATTTGAATAATATTCCTTGCTTAAATAGTAAATATGTACATGACGGCGAATTGGACATTTGACTTAAACACAGTGGGAGTAATAACCTTACCTATACAGCACCTACTTTTGTTCATTTTGATCGTTGCAATTTTTTTAATAATATAAGTTTGTGCTAATGTGTATATTGTGTAATTCGGACAAAATGCGAACCCCAATCATAAATAAGTGAATTCTCATTCCTTGGTTTACTTTAGCTGTGTGTGCGTTTGATTACGCTAATATAGTTTGAAATGCGGGACGCAAACAAAGTGCAATGCCAGCGAACAGAGCCGCACTGTACTGGGTGATGACTCTTTGGCTTGCAGCGATAAGCATTTTTTTACAAAAGCATGAATTAATCAACTCAAGCCTTCAATGAGATAATACTAAAAATATTCACCCGCCGCCTTAAAGGACCGCGGGCAGTTTTGTTCGGCATATATGGCGTAGGCGCTCTTTAAGCCTTTTTTGATAGGCAGTGTGCTGGAGTGCTTGTTCCACACATGCACCACATACGAATCCTTGCAGCTGGCCAGTGTGCTCTCTAACTTTTCAGGGTCAAAAAAGTCACGCCACTTCTTCCATGGCACGGCGTAAAATGCGCCCCGCCCGAATACTTTAAAACCCATACAGCGCTTTGGATCCTCCTGCATCAGAGTAATGTCTTTGGTACCACATATTTTTTGGGCCACCCGAGTTATCACCCCTGGCCCGTTGTTGCCCCAGTCTTGTCCGTTAAAGTTGTGTTGAAAGTCGCGCAGACAAGACGAGGCTATCTCGTGGCCAAAGCCGGTGGCTGCCAAGCTCATTACTCCAGCGGCCAAGTGAGTATTGGACTCAGCACCCGTGTAATTGGGCGGCACCTTCTCCATATTGCGCAGCACCACCACATCCATATCCAGATAAAGGCCCCCATACCGATAGAGAGTGAGATAGCGCAGGAAGTCCGATATGTGCGAGAACAAGTACCTGGAAATAGTGTGATGAATAATAATCAAAGAAGTCCTGTGCTAGCTTACCTTGAGCTGGACAAACGGCCATCTTGAAGCCACTCCTCCATGGGCGTGCCGGCAGCGTAGCTCCCGAGACTCAGACGTCGCAAATGCACATTACTGTAGCTAAGAATGGCCTCCACCAAAGATTGAGGTTGGCTGTTATTGCGACCGGCAGCGGAGATTCGATAGGTGGGGCCAGCGAAAAGGACAAACACTTGGAAATTCGGATTATGCAATGCTGCAGACTCAATTGCGCAGGCCTGGCGGGAGGTGACCCTTAGCGCCTCTAGCTCCTTATTCGTGGACAGGTGGCAACTGGTCTCGTGAAAGAAGATGCTCCTTCCGGGTACGGGCTTTGGGTCTGCGAGCAATACGTCCTCCAATAAGCTCGTATCCGCATCTGCGTCTACCACCTGCTGTGTTACCATTTTTTGGCCTTCCATGAAGCACAAATAGTAATCATTATCCCATGAGTATATGTACACAAGGCCCCCAACAAGCACCAGGATGAGGACGCCGAAAAGAATGCGCAGTCTTCCATTGTGAAGAAAGCGGGCGGCCAAAATGGGCAGCCGCAGAAGCATGACTGGAGCTTAAACTACGCACATATAAGAGATTGAAAGTAACTCATTTATAACTTTGATAACAATTCATCGCTGACAACGCTTTTATGAAGCCCGATGATAGGCAAATTAAAATAAATTGAAGGCAAAAAGCCGATCACAGATAAACAAGATATCGGTGTAATACCGGACGAGAGATTTTAATCGATAACTTATCGGGGTGGGCAGTTCCACTGTATTATCGTCATCTCTTACACTGGCGTGGAAAGCGGCATTTGCTTTGGAAATTTTACAATTTTTTTTCAATAACCAAACAATACGTTAATTGGCCGGCGCAGCGCGCAAAGATCGGTAGAAGCCCGTTACAACCATTATCCATATAGCAAAATAGTGAAATGAATGTTCCTCCTAGCGTTGGCAATGGAGGAGCCCCACCGGGAAGGGGTATGGGCTATACGCCGCCTAGTGCAATTGTGCCGCAATTTCCGCCGCCTGGATTCGCGGCACCACCCCCTCCAGAGATTGCCGCCGCCTTTGGCGTGATGGCCACTAGCACGGAATGGACGGAGCACAAGGCGCCGGATGGAAGGCCATACTACTACAACCAGAACACCAAACAGAGTTCGTGGGAAAAGCCAGAGGCCCTGATGACGCCCGCCGAGTTGCTGCACAACCAGTGCCCCTGGAAGGAATACCGCTCGGACACTGGTAAGGTGTACTACCACAACGTGGCCAGTAAAGAGACCTGCTGGGAGCCGCCGCCGGAGTACGTGGATATGAAAGCCAAGGCAAAGGCTGAGGAGTGAGTAAATTGCTAGTATTTCACTTTGCACCACTTACTAGTATCACATTTCGTTAACCAGAGCTGCTGCTGCAGCCAAGGCCGTCGCCGCCATGACCTCATCCAGCTTAGCGGGCATGGTGCCCCATGCTGCTCTGGCCAACATCCTGCCCGCCGCACTTCCTGCTGCCCCCAGGATTCCTACCCCTGAAATTCATTCGCCTCTAACGCCGAGCAGCAACGAGAACTCTTCCTCCGCAATGGACCAAGCTATGGCAGCCACCTTGGCGTCCATAGAGGTGCCTCAACAGAATGGTAAACAAAACACGCTTAACGTTTAATTTCTCCCACCCATATTACCTGCATTCCCTTTTAGCTAAGAAGGATGATAAGCCAGATAGCACTGTGGTATTTAAGGACAAACGCGAGGCCATCGAGTCATTCAAGGAGCTACTGCGAGACCGGAATGTGCCCTCGAACGCCAACTGGGATCAGTGTGTGAAGATCATCTCCAAGGATCCACGATACGCGGCCTTCAAGAATCTAAATGAGCGAAAGCAAACTTTTAATGCCTACAAGACACAAAAGATCAAAGATGAGCGAGAGGAGTCGCGCCTAAAGGCCAAAAAGGCTAAAGAGGACCTGGAGCAGTTCCTCATGTCAAGCGACAAGATGAACTCGCAGATGAAGTATTTCCGATGTGAAGAGGTATTTGCCGGAACCCGGACTTGGACAGTGGTTCCGGAACCGGATCGCCGAGACATTTACGAGGACTGTATTTTTAACTTAGCCAAGCGTGAGAAGGAAGAGGCGCGGTTGTTAAAGAAGCGCAACATGAAAGTTTTGGGCGAACTGCTGGAGTCAATGACTTCGATCAACCATGCCACCACTTGGTCCGAGGCTCAGGTAATGCTGCTGGACAACGCTGCATTTAAAAACGATGTTACTCTGTTGGGAATGGACAAGGAGGATGCCCTTATCGTCTTCGAGGAACACATTCGTACCCTGGAGAAGGAGGAGGACGAGGAACGCGAGCGGGAAAAGAAGCGAATGAAGCGGCAGCAACGCAAAAACAGGGACTCCTTTCTTGCGCTCCTTGATTCTCTGCACGAAGAGGGAAAACTCACCTCAATGTCGCTTTGGGTTGAGCTGTATCCTATCATATCCGCAGATTTGAGATTCTCAGCCATGCTTGGCCAGAACGGGTCTACTCCTCTAGATCTCTTTAAGTTCTATGTGGAAAACTTAAAAGCCCGCTTCCATGACGAAAAAAAAATAATACGGGAGATCCTCAAGGAAAAAGTATTTGTTGTTCAGGCAAAAACGTCCTTCGAGGACTTTGCTACAGTTGTGTGTGAGGATAAGCGATCGGCCAGCCTTGATGCGGGCAATGTGAAGCTCACCTACAACTCCTTGCTGGAAAAGGTATTTATTGAGGGAAACAAATTGTTATTCTCTTTCAAATTTAAATAAAATTTTTATTTCCAGGCAGAGGCCATAGAAAAGGAGCGTATGAAGGAGGAAGTGCGCCGTTTAAGGAAATTGGAAAATGAAATCAAGAACGAGTGGCTGGAGACCAACGTTTCAGTGGCCGAACCATATGAGAGTGCTAAGAAGCTAGTCGAGCACTTAGAAGCATTTGCATTGTACGAAAAGGAAATCGGCGTGGAAAAGATTTGGGAGGACTTTATTAAGGAAAGCGAAGATGCATGCAGTCATCATCACTCTCGGTCACGGAAATCGAAGAAAAATAAGAAGCACAAAAAACGAATTCGGTCCACGTCGAGATCGGACATCGAGAACGAGCAGGTTGAAATAGAGAAATCCAAGCGCAGGCGCTCCAAGTCACGATCGGTAAGTAAGTTAAGTTGTTCATTAAAATTGTAGAAGTAATTTTACTTCCATGCAGCATTCTCTGAGCTCAATCGGTAGTATCGAGAGCGAAAAACTACTAAAGAAGAAAAAGAAGCGCAAGAACAAACTCCGTGGCGTACGTAACAAGCACCTAATACTAGAAACTCAACAGATCTAACACAGCTTATATTTCAGTCTTCCTGCGAATCGGAAATACCAGGCAATCAGTCCCCGGGCACCCAAGCACTCCTGCAGAACGATTCCAACTCACATTCACCGGCCAAGAAAAAGAAAAAGGAGAAGCGAGCCAAGAAGGACAAAGAGGGCAAGCGCCACAACCGGCACAACCGATCCGGCACTCCTCTTAGCCCTACTCAGTCCATAGAGTCGGCAGGATCTCGAAATGAGGAACTGACGTTAAGTGATGGGGAGCTCGAGTCAAAACGAGCCGCTCTGCTGGCTCAACTAAGCGAGCAGCTAGATGAGTGACCAGGGGACGGCCGCTGATCCTAAGTCAACATAGACAGCGTGTGGCACACTTTAGCTACAGATAATTGCGGGTCAGGAGAAGCAGCTAATCTTGGACTCAGTTGCTGGACAAGTTCTCCCCAGTCCTTGCCCCCATTGCACTCCGCTTTGTTTGTTAAAGGCATTCTGGAACCAGCAAAATCCACACAGCAAACCCCTAATGTAATTTCTTAGTCGCAATAAGTTTCAATGTATAAATGAGAATTAAAACTAACAAGTCAAATTTAAGTTATTACGCAAATGATTGTATCAAAATAAACGAAAATTATCGTAATTCAGGAATTGTTTGATTGTTCTTTGCTATGTTATTATGATTTTAATTAAATTGTGAATTTTTATCGATGCGTTTTGAGTCCCTGGCTTTTAAATACAAGCATTACATATTTTAGTTTAAACTATTTTTAATGACATTCTTGACAAAAGCACAAATGGAAAAGTAGTTTTTCTTGTTGTCGAACTAAAACTTGAACTCCTTGTACTTCTTTGTGGTCTTGGCCGGATCTGTTTGCTGTCGTTTGCGCTTAGATTTTTGCCGCGCCACATGCTCGGCCAACATGTCCGACAGATCCTCTTTTTGCAGGTGATTCTGCTGCTCGCGCATCTGTTGCTCATAACGCTGGGCCATGGCATCGTTGTCCATGTCTAATTCACTTGGATCAAGCGCCAGTTCCACGATGCCCTCACGATCTGTTGTGGATCGAGGTGGAGGCTGTTTGTTAGCCCCACCTCCACTGACATCGTAGACGTGGGTTGATCCCATCATGGAAGCGCCTATGCGGTCTGTGCGCTTCTCCGGCAGTACTTGGTACAGAACGGGGGTTTCATTGCTAGGAGAAAACGGAATAATATAGTTTACTATGCAAGCATTTTGGTGGTCTTGTTTCACTTACTCCTCCATTTCCGCTTCAATTTTCTTCTTACGAAGCTCTATGTTCTCAGGGGTTTCCATGCCAGCTGGAACACTGGTGAGTCCAGAAGGTGTTACCAATCCCTCTACTGGCGTGACCAGGCCAGTCTCATCCTGTTGATCGCCCAAGTCTTCTCCATCTTCCTCCTCCTCTTCAGAAGACTCTTCCGATTCTGATTCAAGTTCACCCCATTGATTACGCTCTATGTCAGCCTCGTCAATGCCATTCTAAAAAATTGCAAACTATAATAATGATAATTGACAAAGTCATGGTGCTACTCACATCCAAATCTAATATGTTTGTTCCAAATACGTCACCATACAATGGCTTTCCATTCTCATCCACTGGTGGCTTGCCCCAACCTCCGGCATGATAACCGAAAGAGGTTCCGTCTGGGATGGGCGCATTTAGACCGGGGATTTTCAGATTAGGGTACGACGGTGGCGGACCGTAGCGTTGTTGAGCAATTAGCCATGGCGGCGGAATCTTGTGGGAGTTGGGACCAACAGGCATTCCCAAAGCAATACGCAACTCTTCAGAAAGATCTCCCGGTTTCTTCTCCTTTAGGCGTGTCTCAAACTCCTTTCCCTCATAGTAAAGATCGCCATGAATGGTCATGCGGGGCTTGGTCTGCCATTTGAAGAAGGCGTCGTGAAGTTTTTGGTAGTCGATATCTATCTTGCCCATCTTGGGTCGTACACGTTCACGCATCTTGGCCTTGAGGGTTTTGGCGTCTTCACGCTCTTGCAGCGACTCGCGCATTTCCATGATTCCCGTCTTTTTAATAAAGGCTGGGAGGTCAAACGGAGGCTTCTCGATGCCTCTTTTTCCCTGCAGATATTTTCGTTTGAAGCACCAATGTCGCGGTACTTGTACTGTGTTTCTATAGGCCTTCAGTTGTACCAAAAGTTTTGGATCTCTGGCTGTTACATCATGCATCTCGACTACATCAGGTCGGGAGACCAGTTGCTTCAATTCTGCCACACTTAGGCGAGTAAGCTTCTTGAGCTTCCGCTTCGACAGCTTCTCCTTATCCTCCTTGTGCTCGTCGTCATCATCGCCATCGTCGTCCTCGTCCTCGAGGAGTTTGTCGGCCGTTTTTTTATCCTTGGCAATGGATTCGGAATCCAGCGACGACTTGTCTTTTTCGGCTGGCTTTGGTTTGTTCTCCAGCTTGAAGATTTCGAAAACACGATAAAACTGTCGGTACATGGGCGCTAGATCGGCAATGGTAATCTTTTCGGGCACGTATCTGAGATAGAATGCTTGGTTAGATAAGATATGTGTATTACTTTTTGTTATGACTTACTCTATGGTAACATCCTGATCATTAGTCTCGGATAATTTTTTATTCTTATCCTTTTCATCGCTACGATCCTTCCTTCGCTTACTGCGACTGTCTTTATGTTTGTCCTTCTTTTCCTTCTCGGAGACCTGTTCGTCTTCACTGCCCGGTGCCTTCGTGTCTGGGTCCTTTATCTCCTGGGCAGCGGCCTCGTGCTCATCGGCCTGGGCCAACTGCTGTTGCCGCTCGAACTCCAGTTGGTGGCGTATCTTCTTGTTTTGCTTCTTGCGCTTCTTTTTCTTTTTGTTTCGCTCCGCTTTGCTTTGTTTGCCGGGCTTTCCCCAGCCCCTCCATTTACCTGATTATCCGCATCATCTTCACTATCCTCGCCCACATCCGCCTCGTCGCCATCCTGAGCAGCCCCCCCGCTGCCACCTTGCGAATCGGCGTCTAAAGTAAACTCGGCCACCCGTTGATCCTTTAAAGCTAACACATCCTCCAGGGCCTTCGGAAGGACTAGTTCTCCAACGGATTTCCCGGCATCCGCGTCTTCAGAAGGTTCGTCAGCGCCAGTCCCATTGCCGTTTTCATTCCCATTGGCAGCCACACTTTCGTGCTTCTGCTGATCAAAGCGTATGGACATCAGAGGTGTGGGCTGAAAAAGTTCGTATTTAATAGATGACTAGCCGGTTGCCTTAAGTAGGAAACCTACCTCGTTATTTAACTGGTCCGCCATAAATGAAATAAATTTATACAAAACCAATTTTATGAAAAAACAATTCTAGTGATGGGCGACAAAGGAATAGCGTACCGCATCGATAATTCGATAGCCTTCGATGAGAAATGCACGAAAACAAGTTGGCATCTTTTTTAGAGGGCGTCCAGAATACGAAAAGCATGGTCAATGAAGACAGCTGATTTGCAATTTACGCTGGTAAGTAAGTCTTTATTAATAAATATACCGTAGATTGCATTTAATATTTACTGACATATTATCAATCTCTCATTTTGTTAGCAAACATTTGGTTTTAGGTGCTGGAATCTGGTCGCAAGGTGCCTTAAGCTTACAAGCATGTTTAAGTTTAATTTTGAAGTTGAATTGGACTCCTCTGAAGATCCAGATTCCGTTAAAAGTCCCATATTTGATAACGAAGGGGATTCTAAAGAACCTGAACCGGGAACCATAAAGAACGTAGATTGGTATAAGGCGGAAGAAGTAAAGCCAACCGATAACTTAATTTCCACATTGGATTACTATGAGCTGAATGCTAAGGAAATAAAACTGGGAAATACAATTATAAAACACCTTGTGGCCGGTTTTTTGCTGGAAGATATAAAGTCCCAATCAAATCTGGAAGATCTCGATATCAGAAAATCTGAGGAAAACCATTCTGATCTTATAGCTGGGGTGTACGAGGGCGGTGCCAAGATATGGGAGTGCACAGACGATCTTCTAATATATCTATCCGAAAAGCTTGAGAACTCATTTTGGAAGGGTAAAAGAGTTCTGGACTTGGGTTGCGGTTCCGGATTACTAGGGATATATGCCCTTAAAAACGGTGCTCAAGTCGATTTTCAGGACTATGTAAGCACATAATTAATATGTTATGATATTTTATATTATATAATTCTTTTCTTATTCTTTTGTTTTTAGAACAAAGATGTTTTGGAATACATTACATACCCAAACATCCTGTTAAACTTAGAAGAAACTCTAACTGACGATGAAAAGTTGGAGTTTTTGGACAAAAATACATGCTTATACGCTGGAGATTGGTTTCACTTCACTCAACTAACAATCGACGTAGAAAAATACGATCTAATACTTACATCAGAAACAATCTACAATATTGAAAATCAGCAAAAGTTGTTAGAAACCTTTGCTGGTCGTTTAAAATCGGATGGAATCGTATTGGTAGCTGCCAAATCTCATTATTTTGGAGTAGGAGGTGGCTTGGAACAATTTTCAGATAAGATCAAGCTGGGAAAGGTTTTTCAAAGTGAAAGTGTTTGGCAGGCAGACAAAAATTTAAAAAAGGGGGATTTTGCAATTAAAATTTATATAAATTATATTAAAAATGTTTTTGGCCTCCACAATTGATAGAGGATAATAAAATCGAGATTTGAGGATGACCCACGGTCTAATTTCAAATATGAAAAACACAATTCGAATTTCGTTAGTTTTGAACAGTTTTTGGGTTCTTTAAGTTCTTAATTCGTTGATCACTTAATAAATAAATGAGCAATTCAAAATAAACCAATCGGTTAGACCCAAGTTGGCATCCCTGTTTACGCAAAGCACCCTGTAACGGTACGACTACAGCTGAGTTCTAGTTGTTATCCCGGACAAATTGTGAGTTCGTTGTTCTCTGATAAAACAAATTAAATGGACCCACCCGGCAATAATGACTGCTTTTGAAACCAACCTTTAGCTTGTCAATAGGGCGTGAACTAATTTTACACAAACTGTTTTCGTACACGCTGCTTGGATTGGTATAAAAAAAAAACACTCATCATCGCACAAAATTGCGGGCCTAATCGATGTTCTTGATGTCAGCCGGCTCCTCCGATTTTGTGTCTAAAGCTTGGAAATCGGAGGAAAAGGAAGCCCAGTTGGAAGCTAACCGGAATCTCTGCTGCTGTGAGTACGTGACGGAGGACAGTCGGCAGCGATCACATATCCTAGGATGCTGTTGTAATTGCGTGGATTTCGATTTAGTGTTCACAAGGTGGGGAAACCAAAACTAAAGTGTCTAGAACTACAATTAAACTCTCCACAGACTTGTCACCTGCCGGAATATCGATCGAAAGAACGTAGACGGCATGTTAATCGCCTTTCAAGACCGGCTGCGTCTACCATGGCGCGGCGGAGCTAAGCGAATCTCGCCCGCAGCAGTGGCTCCTGCCTTCATTGTGCCCCTTATGCTGGGGTTGGCTACTTTGAACTCCAAGACCGCCATAGTACTGATGCTCACCCTTGTGGGCTTCACAATTTGGGGCATGCAGCTAGCAAAGAGAACGGCTACGAGGACCAACTTCTTTTTGAGTTGGCTGATTTTCTCTGTGTTCTACATGATCATTATATTTGAATTTCAGGTGCCTCTGCTGGAGCTGGCTCCGGAAGAGAATTACGCTCTAATGTTTTTCTCTTGTGCGGCTCTGTACTGTATCTACTCTACCAAGGTACTATCTCCCTTAAATCTAGTCTCAGCACAGTACGGAACCACGCCTAAAGATGAGTTGCCTGGCATAGCAGAGGCTTCTAGTGGCGAGGAGCAGGCCGAGGCCCAGACCACGCTCCAGATGGAGAGTGTACTGACTTTAGATGACGACGAGGTGGTGGACATGGACACTGCCGAGCGATCGGGCTTAATGCACGGACATCCCAACATCTGCGAGATTTGCAGAAAGGTGACTCCAAGGCGTGCTAACCACTGTCCTGTATGCGGAACCTGCGTGAAAAAGCGGGATCACCACAGTTACTGGCTAAACTGCTGCATCGGAGAGCGCAACTACGTATGGTATATTGTCGGGCTGGCTCTGTCGGAGATCGCACTCCTACTGGGCGCTAACTTAACCCTTACTTCGATTTGTCATCCTTTTATGGTGGTGCGGCCTCTCGGCTATCCAGTGCTCTTACCCGACGATTGTAGCGAGGTATTCGAGGGCTTTGAGTAAGTAGATACCTGTGATTTCAGTTAACCTATTTCAAATGAACACATACTCTTTTTAGACTAGGAATTTCTTTTGTGGTGGCTTGCTACGCTCTCCTTATTTCCGTTTACATAGCCTTTATACTTACTCGACAGGCCTACTTGTGGTGGAGGGGCTCCACCCTGCACGAATACAAACGCGCCTCCAATGCCTCAGGTCGTAATCGAATCTGGAGCAACTGGCGAGCCATTTTGAAGTGATTGATCAAATACCACAGAGCAGAAAGCACAACCTTGTCGCCCAAATACTAAAGTATTTATAGTCTAAACGCTGTTCTTCATAGTCGTACTTAGTCGTAGCGCTTTAAGGTCATAAATGCAATTTCAAATTTATTCAAAATAAAAATAATAAGAAATAGAACCGATCAAAAAAAAAAAAAAAAAAGAAAGCTACCATAAGCTATCCTCTCTCGGCTTATAATCAGGCAGCAACTCCCAAATCTTCATGCGCCATCTCTGGCGTCGCTCCTCCGTCTCCTTCTCGATCTTAAGGATTTGTGGCAGACGTCGCCAACAATCCAATACTTTCCACTTCAGGTGCCTAGTATATTTTGTTTTAACTATTAATCTTGTCTAACAATATATTTACAGGACCTACCACTCATGATGCGAAATGGCCTGTCGAGTCTTGGTGTCTTCGATCATACGGCAACATGTGGAATATTTATGCCACCGCCGAAACCAGTACTCCATGGCATGGAGAGCATGCCAATCAATCGCGACCAGCATCTTGCTCTTTTCATTCTGCACATACACTATCCAGGTGAAAAGAGCGCGGCGCTTGAGGATGGCATGCCAACACCTTTCAGCTCGGATCATCTTTTCGCGCTGCCTATAGGCCGTATAGCTGTGCCACGAGTTAAATGCGTTCTTTTTGAATAGCTGTCGGCAGATTGCAAAATGATTTATGTTTTATAAAGCCACCTACAAGAAAAAAGCATACCTGACAACGAAATTCTTCGCTCTTAACAAGATTCTCGCGTTTTCGGTGTAGTAGTCGTTTAAAACCCTCCATGCCAATACGCCTTAGTAGAAGCATGCGACTGAAATCCACAGCCTTGCGATGATTCTCGATAAAGCGCTGGCGCTCACGCTCCTTCAAGATCTTTGCCATTTTTTCCTGGCGTCGCTTTTCCTTAAGAACCTCTATCCTTAGACGTTTGGCTTCTTCATCCTCTTGACGCTGAATGATTTAGAGTTCTAGAAGGTTAATGGTCATGAATCGAATTAATATTTTAAAAGCCCACCTTGGCTTGCTCTAGGGCTACTTTTGCTGCCTCCCTTTCGGCATCAGCTTGAGCCCGACGCTGACGAGCTTGCTCATGACGTACACTCCGTTCTGTTGCCCGTTCTTGCATGTGCTGCAGGAATCGTGGCTGGAGCAATGCCTTGCCCTGAAGACGGGCCATCTCCTCGTCATCCGCATCGCGGAGACTGCCGATCAACTGCAGGCATTTGGCTTTGGCCTTGGCCTTGGGATCCCCGCAGCGGATGACCGTCTTTAACTCCTGCTTCAGATCTTCGCGCGCCTCTTTGGCTTCGTCGCTGAGTTTTGTTAACTTAAGTTGCATAATGAGACGCTCTTGGCGCTCCAGTTTGATTCGTTGCAGGTCAATAATGTCCTGTTGCACTTTAATCCTGGTTGGTAAAATTATAATTAGTGGTATACATATGAACATACATACATATTTCATTTAAGAGACTCAGGGACGTACTTGTTCTTAAACTGTTTTGTCATCTTTACGGCTTCCTCGCGGTGCTCCAGGGATTTCTGGTTGATCTTACTAGTGTCGGTATCAGGCTCAATCCGCTGACGCTTCTTCTCTTGGCGGACCTTATCCAAGAAAGCATTGATTTTCTGCACCCGGTTATCCCGCGCCTGGCACTTTTGACCCTGTTCACGTTCAATCTTTTCCATCGTTGTAAAGTGAATCCACTTAAGGAAGTACTTGCGCATTATCACTATCTGAGTTTTAGCCCTGGCCTGAAACAGCTGGTCGATGATCTTTTGCTTCTCCTGAGTTTGTGCAATGTCCGACTCATCCTCACAGTCGCTCGACAGCTCTTGAGGCTCGGGTTCCCTGGGCTTGACAACTACTTTGGGCAACTCTATTCGCCGGATAAGTAGGGGCTCCGGCTCTGGCTCGATTTCCGATTCTCCAATGGGGTGTGTGCTCGGCGTTGGAGTCTTCTTTTGGGGCAACTGAAACTGCACATGCTTAGGAGGAATAGGCAACTCCTTGTTCTGCTCCTCAGCAGCTTCCAATTGAAGTTCATATAGTGCTTCTTCCGCTAAATCGGATATTACGGAGTCTATGCCATCGCTAGTATTTGAGCAAGTTGAGGATTCTCTTTTTAGAGGGGAAGGATTTCCATCTGGTTGTTCATGCTGATTTTCAAGCTGTAACTCCTCTTCATGGCGAACGGTCCGAACATGGAGCATCTGGCGCTCGGCTGCCGCCCGCATGGGTCGAAAGAACTCCTCTGTCGAGGTTAACGGACTAGGAGTGCGGCACCGCAAGAGCTTCGCCTTGCTCTCATCTGCCTGGACTTGCTTGGTAAAGTTGCGATACTCCAGGGCATCAAAGGATATCACTTGCTCTTCTAGGAACGCTGGGAGTTCCATCACCTGAGCTTCTTTCTCTGTCCATTCGCAGTCCATGTCAGCCTCTTTATCCGGTTCCGGTCTAAGTTGCTGGATCAAGCTCTTGGTAGCCGCTGACTTGGTCTCTGAACACATTTGGGCCATTTGCCCCAATGCCTGGACAGGAGTGTTGTAGAAGTTATCTATGTGCTGAGCTGCCTGGGCCAGGCTCTTCACAAGAGGAGCATTGTTCAATTTAAAATCTGGCTTTGTAGGTGGCACCCGGTGGTATTTGCTCCTCTGGAATTGCCTAGACAACTGCTGGCGAAACTTCTGCAGCTGATTATCAATGAAACGTTGTTCCACCTCCAGATTATGGGCTTTCGTAGCTTCCAGAGAATGGCTATGGTCATGAGCTATGGTGGCCAAGGGAAGTTTGTGTGGTATCTTTTGAAACTGTTTAAAGAGTTTTATTTATAAATTAAATTCGAATCATTTTAATTTGTTAATTCTAAAAATATGAAGTTTTTGTTTTAAAATATTTATGTAATGAAAATCGCTTTTATTTATGAATTTTAGTTTTTCATAATTTAAACTACAAACATTTTCAATTATTTAAGTCCAAAGCGAATTTCCCTTTCATTTCGTTTTAAAAGTTATGGATGTAAATAAATAAACCAATTCACCATCTTATGTCGCATGTCCATTATAACAGATGGATTCAGTTGCTTAGTATCTTCTCCTTCAATCAGGAGCTTCTCCTGCCGCCTTCCTATGTAATCCGCTCCTATTAGGCGACGTACGGCATCCGTCTTAAGCCCCAAAGCATTGACCTGCTGGTGGCGCTTGCGAATGCGATCCCATCGCGACTCTTTAATAGGCTTCTCACGGCGTTTCAGAAGCGACATCTTGAATAGTCTCGAATGTCTTGTTTTATTTTAAAATGGTTACTTTTTACTCGAATTGAAAAGTAAATGAGAACTGTCTCTGTCGATGGGAAAAATTTCGTAAACAAGTTTGTGATATTGTCCTGACAACGAAAACTGCCGGCCGGGGTGGAACAGTTTTACCTGATTACCTATACTTACCTATACCAAAAAAAAATTGGATTGCATTCAAAGCACAGCTTGATCCATTTTAATTATTATAAAGTTCATATAAATGCCATAAATATTAGATAAGTCGATAAGTAACAAAAATTTTGAGGACTTTGCAAGCTTAGTTTAGCAGTATATTTCATAGTAATTGAGGAAACTTTAGTTTTAACCGGCAGCCGGGTCCTTCTTGGTCTTTTCTTTCTTGCCCTTTTGTTTCTCGGCGGCAGCCTGCTCCAGATCAATTGGTGCAGGCTTGACGAATGGAATTTCGTCCTGGAACTTGGCGGGCAAGTACTTCTTCAGCGGCTCTGGCACCTTGATACCTGTCTCCGTCTGATGGGTTTCCAGAATGGCGCAGATTACGCGAGTGGCAGCGCACATTGTGGCGTTCAGCATGTGCACATAGTCGACGGCAGCGTTCATTTTCTTTGTCTGGCCGTAACGAACCAGCAAGCGACGTGCTTGGTAGTCTAAGCAGTTGGAGCACGAGACAAGCTCTCGGTATGCCCCGCTGCCGCCGAACCAAGCCTCCAGATCTAACTTCTTCGAGGCAGCATGGTTGAGAGCTCCGGAAACGATGTTCACTACGCGATATGGAATGCCAAGTGACTGACAGAACTGCTCCGCATTACCAATCATCTCGTCCATCATTTCCCACGACTTGTTGTCGTGCGGAGAGGTGAGCACGAACTGTTCAACCTTCTCGAACTGGTGGACGCGGAAAATGCCGCGAGTGTCGCGTCCATGGGAGCCCACTTCCTGTCGGAAGCACGTAGACAGACCGGCGTATTTTATAGGCAGCGATGCCTCTGGCAGCCATTCGTCCCGATGGTAGGCGGCAATCGGTTGTTCCGAGGTGGCAATCAAGTACTTCTCGTCAATACCCACCTCTTCGGCCTTCTCGCTGCCTTTGCCAACAACTTTGTAGAGCTCTTCATCAAACTGCGATAGCTGGGCCACCTCCTGCATTACCTCCTTTCTCATAAAGAAGGGCGTATACAGTGGAACATAGTCACGAGCGTACAGCAAGTGCAGAGCGTGTTGAATAAGAGCCTGCTCCAGGAATACGGCAGCTCCGGTAAGGAAGTATCCGCGTCCGCCAGACACTACAGCTCCCTTTTCAGCGTTCATACCATCGATCATTACAATAAGGTCCACATGGGAGTACTTCCCGCGCTTTTCACAGTCGCCAAAGGTCCGTTCCACGCGGTTTTCATCCTCGTCGTTGGAAACAGGGACGGACTCATGCAGGTGGTTTCCAACCTCCCGCAGCGAGGTGTTCCTTGTCTGCTCGGCCAGCTCCAGCGACTTCTGGTTTTCCGTCATGGCATCGTCGATGAGCACGCGCAGTTGCTTGATCTGATTGACAGTTAGCGGTTGCAGTGTCTCTGCCACGATCTCGGTGAGGTCCTTGGTCACGCCGGCCGGGAGGTCTTCGCTCATTGCGCCCACCGGTTCTTTCTTCTTCATCTTCTCGCCGATCACCTTGCTGCAGACATTCTTCACCTTGTTCAGGTTGTCGGCGCGGTGGCGGCACTGACGCCATTCCGTGTCCTTCGCGATCACTGTCTCCACCAGCGCAACATCCTTGAAACGTTTCTTCTGGTTCTCGCGCACGGCATCCGGGTTGCCGCCCTTGTCGCTGCGAAAAAGATCCAAATCCAACACCATCTTAGCTGTGCTTTAATTTAGTTTAAGTCGCGGATTGGCAGCAAATCGCTCTTTCACAACGTGGCTAGCCTTTTGCGTCAACTTGGCAGTGTTGGAAAGTGCGTTTAGTGCGTTGGGGGGTATGATTGGAGACGAAGTGCATTCTGTTGACTCATAACCTTCTAGTGCAATCTTGAGGCCTCTTGAGATATTCACCGAAGCACTTGAAAATATTGTTAATTATTTTAATTAAAAACTATGAACACCAATTTGTTAATATATAGAATCCAAATGCAAAAAATTCAGTTAACGTTTAATATTGTTATGAAGTTAAACAATAGAACTAGTGGTACAAGGATATTTTATAATTTTAAAAATGGTTTTACAGTCGGATTAAATATAACTTTGCTTTTATTATGTTTATTTTGAATTTTCCAGTCGTCCATATGTCGAACTTCAGACGCAACATTTTTCGTCACTATGCCAAATTAAATTGTTACTTATTCAGCACTGTATGTACCAGCTGTTTCAAAACAGTCCAACTGGAAAACAGCAACGAAACTGCTGACAGATTCCGCCGACAATGAGCTTTATTGACCAGGAGGTTACAGAGTTTCGAGCACAATGTGAAAAGCAGGTACCGCACACGAAAATCATAATTTGCTCCAACTCTTTGATTCGGGTTGACATCTACCCGGAGCGTCCAAACCTCTCAATGACCGTGTGCCTTCGCTTTCCGGAAAACTACCCGCAGAGCACTCCCATCTTGGTGGAGCTAAAGAGTCGTGTATACTCCGATATGCTGCTAACGGAGCTCACTCGGTTAATCGACGACTATGTCAAGGATTTTTTGGGAAAACCGCAGGCGCTGTTGGTTCTGGCCTTTGCGCAGCAGTATTTGACGGATAATCCGCTTTGCGTATGCCTAGACGAGATTAAGCAGCTAAGGGCAGACATCAAAAGTGGAGGCTCGGAGAGCCAGCTAAAGCTGAAGCAAAAGAACAGGAGCGTGGAGCTGGTGGCTAAGGGAGGCCGTTACAAGTACAAAGTTACTGCCGTCGTTCTGGACAGCTATCCCATGCAAAGTGTGGAGCTACGTGGTCAAGAATCCAATCTGCCTGCCGTGCTTGTGCGCTACCTAAACGGTCAGTCGCGGGAGATAGCTCGCCAGTGCGTAGAGCCACCGATTCGGCTTAGCAAAGAGGCACTGGCCAATTTTCGTCCGGTGAGGAGTCTGCAACGGTCACTCAAGTTCTGCCTGGAGGCCACTCGGGATTTCCATATCGAACTTTGCCCTATTTGTGATAAAACTGTGCTACCCGATGATCCGCAGAATATAGAAATAGATGACAATTCTGACCTTTTCATCGAGCGCGTTTACTGTGGACACCTATTTCACCAAGGGTGCCTTAAGAAATATCTGTCAGAGCCTCCCTTTCCCAAGGGCGGAAAACTGTGTCCAGCCAAGCGTCGCCATCCGCGTTCTGATGCTCAGACTTACATGGGAAGATCACAGGGAGGAGGAGTCGCTGCATCCAAGTCTTTGGAAGACGCGGTTTGTGGCATTAAGCTGGCTCACGACCGCTGGGTAGTCAGTGTGAAGACTGCGGAGGCACGTTGGGCCCAGAAACAGGCTCGCCAGCGGGAGCTCGAGGAGGTGGTGGACTTCCTACAATAACAGAGGATTCAACTCAAGAACAGCTTTCTGAATATGGTTATGTATTTTGTGATTTCTTTTCGAATACGCTTATATTGCTAAAGATGAAATAAATAAAGTGAAGATAAAGTGCGACTAGGTTGGTTTTGGGTATGTTTTTGTGTATACTGCTAACGCGATGTCAGTAAATTGAGCAGTGTTACAGTCTTTTATATCGCGACTCTTGAAGATCTGAACGAATTAGACTATAAGTCTTTCTATACCTTTTTACGGTATAGCAAAGTAGATGAGTTTGGAAAACTTATTTAAATTGTAATATTATATAGAATACATGTTCTGCGAAAGTCAGGAAACATGTCTGTTAAATTTGTTTCTTTTAAATCAACCGAAATAGAATCCAGGCCTTCTTAGATTTACTAAGATTCCCTGGAAGCCCGTTGGGTGCAGGCTTATTTAGCTAAACTTCAAAAATCGGTGACTATTTCATCGTCTTCATACCGCTTGATGGGGTCTCCCTTGATCAGTGATGAAATGAGGCTATAAAGAGAAGTTTCAGATTAATAGTAATTTTTTATATATAGTATTTGAGATCTCCTAACTTACCAGTACACTCCCACAAAAAACATAACGAAATAGTACCCCAGATAAATCATACAATTCCTCAAGTGGACCTTCAGCAGTCCCCTACTGTGTATGTCCACCGGATCGTAGACACCCAGGCTATCTCTCCGCTGACGATGAAGTTCGTAGAAAAGCCATATAACCATCGGCAGGTTAAGAAGAAACATTACCCAGTGGCCTCCGAGAAGAAGTAGGACACAGAGCAGGGCGTGTGATCCGAATTTGGGTATGACCCAGAAGTTGAGTCGCCGGCAGCATTCCTGGGCATTCAAATAGTCGCACTCCAGATCCGCCAGCGTCAGTACCTAAAAAATATTACTCTTAAAATTTGTCTTTTATAGAAAACCAGTCCCACATAGTAAATTAGAAGCAGAAGGATGGCTCCGTAGACCAACAGGGTGATACAAAAGGTGGCTGTCTCCGGAAGAAACATAATTGCACTATAGATTCACTTTTTCACTTATAAATACGGGTTTTCAATATTATTTACAAAGTTTTCAACATTTCGCGTTTAATTTGTTTTTAATTAAAAAAAAGTCCTATAAAATACCATACGGCGTTTTTTTATGCAGTGGTGGATACAGAGTTTTTGAATTAGCAACCCTGAAAAACGGTTTCTTCCTTTTTGAATTGCTTTCAATTTTACTCAAATAAATAAATGCGTTCAAATAAAGATAATAGTTAAGAAAGGCCCACAAAATATAATATCTAGCCTTAAACTCTTAAAATAAGTTTTATTATATTTGAATTAATTCTTCTTATTATTTTAATTCTACTATCAATCTCCTTAAAATGAAAGAAATACTTCAGAAAATGAAGTTGTGTATGTTCATTAGGAACGAAAGCAACAATCCTTAAGATAACATAAAGAGCAATGTGTTCTTTATCAATAACTGTTCTGCATTATCAGTTCTGTCCTCCATCTTTGGTATTATCCAAAGAAAATTTGTATTCTATGTATACAACATCTGCATGAAATAGAAGACCTCCGATAACCCCCTAGTTCTTGGGGGTATAAAAGGAACTGAACTCACTCATAACATCTTAGTCTTGTCCGGTTTTTTGAGCAGTTTAAGTGTTTTTGGTGAAGTGTGAAATAAATCCAGATATAAGTCCCTGCAGGGGACCAAGATTTTCTCCGGCATGGGTGTGGTAGTGTGGTTCCTTGCCGCATCTCTTTTTGGAAGCACTGTTGGATTGCCCAATGTGGAACCAACTAGGACTTGGGTACCAGAGTAAGTAAATTCGTTTTATAAGAATGAAGAAGTAAATATGGGATTTCAAGTTTTTTTTACTTACATGTGTAAAATCTATTAGATTATTGTATTAAAAATATTTAATAATATTAATTCCTAATCTCTTTTCCAGCAATCCCAATTCGGGACCAAGATTAGCCAATGAGCTGTGGTTCAGTCAAGTGAAAAAGCCATTCTCCCATTGTCCCCAATACAAATTCCCCATCAACACCAATGTGAATTGCGTGGATACAAAGGAGGGAGGCGAGTGCGAGGTCAGCTGCATCGGCACTAATCACTTCTATGGCGAACGCCAGAACGTCAATAAGCTAATCCTCTCCTGCCGTCGTGGTGCGTGGGGTATAAAGAACGGGGCCCCCACGGCGAAGACCATCCAGCATTGCGATGGCGCGTGCGTCTGCCGAAATGGAGGCATCTGCAATGGGGAGAAGTTTTGTCACTGCCAGAAGGGATTTGGTGGAGAGAACTGCGAGAAACACCAGGAGTTCGGGTGTCCGGAGCGGCCACCGCAGCTTCCAAAAAACTCGAGGACCGTCTGTCGAGGAGATACCTGTGAGGTGCAGTGCTCTCCGGGATTTGACTTTTCCGACAAACGCAGTCGAGTTCTTCTCAAGTGCAAGGGTACTAAATACGTGGATATGAACCCACAATTTCTCAAGCTGCCGGATTGCGAGGGTAGGAACTTTTCTGATCAGTTTAATTAATCGAACATCTTAGAATGGCCTATTCTTTCTTATTTTGTATATTTCAGCGAGTTGTTCTCCTAATTGTCTAAACGGAGGTAAATGCATTGCACCTAATGTCTGTGAGTGTCCGCCAAATTACCGAGGAAAACAGTGCCAATTTCCCGTGTCTAGATGCAATGTTACGGATTTCAATGGCAACTTCCAGTGCGATCATGGACCGGAGAGGTCAGAGTGTCGTCTAAGCTGTCCTACAGCTCAAGGAGTTAGTGTTATGGGAAATTTGGTCTCACGCTACGTCTGCGACTACGGAACGGGAAAATTCGAGCCAACAATCTCTGGCACTTGCATATATCGTAAGTAAAAGGAAACCCACAAAGGAATATCTTACATAAAGGACACATTGTAATACAAATGGCGATAAGAAAATAGATCCCTCTTATTTTCCACAGCCAATGGGCAGATTTCCCCCACTTAAATGAGGGTTCATTCTTTTTCCAACATATGTTTATCGCCTATGCACTTGACATTTTATATCCATTTCAATATACATATGTACATGTGTATGTACATGTACATATGATATTCTTAAAACCAAAAACCAGATGTTTGCTGTCATTCGACTGAAATAGGTTTTAGTGTCTTAGGGTCCTTATAATGGCGGCAGTGTACTTAGCACCTATCGCAGCAGGGGACATCTTTTCATGTCGATAACTAAAAACAGCTTTAAGTAATTCGATCCTTTTAATTTCTTACACAATTGAACCAAGAACATTGGTTTATTTTCCGTGCACTAGATAAATATCGTTGTACCATCTTCTGATTAACATACACTCTTCGTTCCGCACAGCTCCAAATCTAAATGTCTCCCAACAAATAACCACTTCTGACACTCAGACCAATGGAACTGTCACAATTACAAACAAAGCAGTGCTTCCTTGGCCGGATAACCTGATCGCAATCTGCAATCGCTATCGGCAGTACGACAATAGCAGCGACTGGAAGCCGGAGGACCCAGATGATGACGGTATTGATGGAGCAGGCCGACTAAGACCAAAGCCCAATAAGGATTTAATTGTGGCTCCACGAACTACGGTTTGCAGCTCCTGGAACGGTCGCAATATCCGAACCTTCGATGGTTTACTATACAGGCTGACGCTGAACTGCGCCCATACCCTGGTTAACGACAGGATATACGGGGCATTTCATGTCTCCGTTAAAAGTGAGACCTTCGAATCTCCGCTGACTATTCAGATCCAATGGCAATCTGTACAGTACACACTGGAGAACCTCAGTAAGTAATAAACACTAACTTAAGACTTATATTCTGATATTTAGATCAAAAAGACCTCATCTCAAGCAAATACCAATTTTTTTAAGCATTTCTGATTCTGAGAAACCGCTTCAGTTCAGGTTTAATCTAATACCATGTAACTTTCAGATGGAAGTGTAACTCTATCCACGCCCGAGAAGCGGCTTCCGCTACCTGCCCAAGTCCTGGGAATGAAGGTTGTACCCTTTGCTCAGCACGTGGAAGTGGACTTGGAATCGGTGGGTCTGCAGCTGGTCTGGGACCATCACCAGCTCCTAACCGTGCGTGCGAGCGTGGATCTCTGGCAAAAGGTAGGTGGCCTCTGTGGTCACCTCGACGGCAACAGTGACAACGACCTGATGAGCCGGTCTGGTTCAGTATCACCATCATGTCGCACCTTTACTGATAGTTGGCGTACCGGTGATCAGACATGTGTGCCCGATACGGATGAACCTTTGGCCCAGTGTAGGGGAGAGCGACATGTTGAGGCCGTGGAGAAGTGTCGAAAACTACTGTACAATGTCCACTTAAAGAGCTGTCTGGAGAACTTCAACCAGGAGACACTTCTACGGACTTGTATCAAAGATCACTGCGGCTGCCCAAGGGGTCAATCCTGCATTTGCAACTTTTTACAATCGCTAAATGGCGAGTGCCGAATCCTGGGAATTGAGCCTGCGATTAAGGATTGGCGGAATCTACAACTATGCCCAATCAGTTGCGCCGGTGGCCTTGTCTACCGTTCATGTGGTCCCCAGTCCCAGCCAACCTGCGAGAGCGAAGGAATCAATGACCCGAATCAGTGTTTTGAGGGCTGTTTCTGCCCGAGTGGTAAGCTCCTCTACAAAAACACTTGCATCGACCACAAAATGTGCCCGTGTGAGCTGCGTGGACGTGAGTTCCAGCCAGGTGAAACCCACAAAAAAGAGTGCAACACGTGTACCTGCCAAGCTGGAAAGTGGGAGTGCACTCAGGAAAAGTGTAACAAGCGTTGTACAGCTTTTGGGGATCCCCATTACCGAACCTTTGATGGAAGATCTTTCGACTTCCAAGGTCGTTGCCTGTACTACCTGTTGAAGACACTTACTCTTTCCGTGGAGGGCGAGAACATCCCGTGCTCTGGTGCCATCGATGAGGTAGTAGAACCATCGCCAACTGGACCATCGTGCACCAAATCGGTTACCATCCGCTTCTCTTTAAAAGAAGGTGGGCCCACTGTTATCAAACTATCGCAAAAGCTTCAGAGCTTTGTAAATGGCGAGGTGGTGACCCAATTACCCTTGCAATTGGGTAATGGAGAAGTGGTACTTCGGTTAGCCAGTCATAACTTTATCACCGTGACTTTCGCCGATGGCTTGGTGGTGTGGTGGAACGGCGAGTCCACTGTCCACATTGATGCCCCATATAGCTACTACGATAACACGGCTGGATTGTGTGGTACTTTTAATGACAACACCAAGGATGACTTCCTCACTCCGGATGGAGATTACGAGCACACTCCGTTGGCATTTGGCAACAAGTGGCGCACCAAAGAGTTGTGTACTGATCCGGGTCCACCGGTGAACCCAACCCCCTGCTCAGGTAATCCCGCCCAACTAGCAGCGGCTGAAGAGCTTTGTTCGGTCCTTCGATCAGACACTTTTAAGCCGTGCCATTGGGCCGTGGATCCTAATAGTCACTACGAAGCCTGTATCTCCGACATTTGTGCCATTACGGATACTAATCCGATTAACGCGAACAAAGCGCTTTGCGAACTGCTCTCTGACTACGCCAATTTGTGCGTAAGAAATGGAATCAGGACCAGCTGGCGACAGTCTATCAAGCAGTGTTCGATCAAATGCCCGGATGGTCAAGAGTACGCTGAGTGCGGAGATTCGTGTGCCTTGAGTTGCTTCGACTTGCAGAAGCGGGATCAGTGCAAAAGGCAGTGCGTCGAGGGCTGTCGCTGTCCAACAGGTTACTTCCTCAACGAGCAGCAGGAATGCGTTCCCCAAAAGGCCTGTTCCTGCTACTATGATGGACTGAGCTTCCAACCCGGATACAAGGAGGTGCGTCCGGGCGCAAGGTTCCAGCAGCTATGGTAAGTTTAAGACTTTTCTCAAGGCCCTTCTTTTTCATAATGAATAAAATACTTTTGTAGCACCTGTGCTGATGGGCTGTGGAATTGCAAGGATGCAGACCCGAATGATGAATGGATTTTTCCGCCACTGGTAAATATTCGTAAGAAGTGCGCTCGTAGTCCGTACGCCAAGTTCGTAAGCTGTGCCCCCAAGGATCCGAAGACCTGTAAGAACATGCATAATTATTTCCCTGACACAACTTCCTGCCACCCAGGATGTGTGTGCGAAGATGACTTTGTGTACGACGTCACCCGGCAGCAGTGCGTCTCGCCGGAGAAGTGCTCTTGCTATCACGCCGGTCGGAGTTTCGACGATGGGGCCACCTTCCAAGAGCTGTGCAACCAGTGCGTCTGCCAAGGTGGATCTTGGAAGTGCACTCGTAATGACTGTGAGGGCACTTGCAGCGTTTGGGGCGACTCTCATTTCAGTACCTTTGATGGCCTCGACTTCGACTTCCTCGGCCAGTGTGACTACGTTCTCTCTAAGGGTATCGATGACCACGGCAGTGGTTTCTCAATAGTTATCCAAAACGTTCTCTGCGGATCATCAAGCGTCACGTGTTCAAAGTCACTGGAAATCTCCCTGAGCGGCAAGGGCGGATCGGAGAAGCTTAAACTAAGTTCCGGCGGAATTTATGGGACAGATAATGCCACTTCTCTAATAGCACGTAAGTCTAATTATTTATATGAACAAATTTTTATGAACATACATACAATATATATTTGTTTGGCGAGAACCACTCCTTAACCATCTATCAACATCTTGCAGGTCTTCGGCAGCAGATCAGTTCGCAGGAGTCCAGTTCTTTTTACGTTTACAAGGCGGGAGTGTTTCTGGTGGTCGAGGTTCTGTCCCTACGTCTCCAGATAAAGTGGGACGAGGGCACCCGAGTTTACGTTAGGTTGGGCAATGAATGGCGCGGACGCGTTTCCGGACTATGTGGTAATAACAACGGAAACAGCCTGGACGACTTCAAATCTCCATCCGGAGGCCATGAGGCGGAACCAACGCTTTTTGGTCATTCTTGGCGAACGCACCAGCAGTGCGAGCTGCCTGTACAAATTTTCGATTCCTGCCAGCGGAACGGGCAACGTCGATCTTGGTCCGAAAACAAATGCAGCATCCTCAAGTCGCCATTGTTCGCCGCCTGCCATCTCCAAGTGCCTCTTGATCGCTACCTAAAGCGCTGCGTCTTTGACACATGTGCCTGTGACCAAGGAGGCGACTGCGAGTGCCTCTGCACAGCGGTCGCTGCCTACGCGGATGCCTGCTCTCAGCGTGGCATCAACATTCGTTGGCGCACGCCCCACTTTTGCCGTAAGTACTAGTACCATCCAAATATATATAAATAAATAATATCTATATACTTCTCCCCACAGCAATGCAATGCGACACACAGTGCTCGGATTACAGCGCATGTACGCCGGCTTGTCCTCTGGAGACTTGCGATAACCTCCTTGACCAAGGTGACTCTGCTCGGTTATGTCACCACGAAAACTGCATAGAGGGATGTCTTGTGAAGCCTTGTCCACTAAACCACATTTACCTGAACGACAGCTACACCACATGCGTTCCCCGGACGGACTGTAAGCCCGTGTGCCTGCAACGAGATGACATAACCTATTTTGAAGGCGATATAACGTACACAGACGACTGTGCCACATGTCGTTGCTCCAAGAAGAAGGAGGTATGCAGCGGAAAACCTTGCCCACCGACCACTACTACAAAGCCACCGATCACGGGTACAGAAGATCCGAAAGATCCGCAGGATCCGTCCGGTAAGAAATGCGTACGAGGCTGGACACGCTGGTTAGATCGCGGATCCAGCTTGGGTGGAATAAACCTTAATGACCTGGAACCGCTGCCCAATTTCGATTCACTCGAGAACATTTACGGCACCTGCGATCGGAGGTTCCAGAAGAATATAGAATGCCGGGTGAGAGATACCAAGCAATCGTACGAGCTGGTGGATGACAATGTGTCCTGCGATCTTACCCGGGGCTTGGTGTGTGTGGGCAAATGTCACGACTACGAGATTCGGGTCTTTTGCGAGTGCAACGATGATGACATTACCACACCTAGACCTCCACCTCCTCCACCAAATGAGAAGTGCGATCCTTCGCTACAGATCTTCAAGGAGTATCCCGGAGATTGCTTCAAATATCTGCGCTGCGAGAAAATTCCGGGGAACAGCAACTGGCACTGGGTTCCGGGATCATGTGGCGTTAGCATGATGTTCAATCCGATAATCGGGGCATGTGATCACATCTCCATAGTAACCCGGCAGAAACCCCAATGTGGAAGGACTAAAGATCGGTGCCGGGATGATGAGGAGTGGAACGATTGCGCCAACCAGTGTGAGCATACCTGCCACTTTTACGGGCAGCAATTGCTCCGGCGGGGTCTTTGCATTCCCGGCGAGCATTGCAAGGCCGGATGTGTGCCAAAAAAACGTCAGGACTGTCGGGCGCTGGGTAAGCTCTGGCGCGATGAAAACACCTGTGTGGATCTGGACGACTGTCCTTGCCTAGACGATCGCAATGACGACTATTTGCAGCCACACAGAATCATCTCGACTGATTTGGATGACTGTCAGTGTGTTTTTAACCAGTTTGTGTGCGTGCCGAAGAAAACCACTACAGAGTTCCGTAAGTTGATGGTGACATTTCTTGATTATTGGAATTAATTTAATCGTATTCCAGCTCCGATCGGAAGTCGTACCACAACCACACCCTTGCCTACTATTCGCACCACCCTAACCCCACCTACATTGTGTCCAGCTTCCAGGTAAGTTAGCTTATAATTTATATATGTAATTTCCTAAATATTTTATATATAATTGTTATATGTATATTCACAGCATGGTGCGCCTTTTTACTAGCGACCATTCTGTTCCTGACACCGCTTTCTTAGGATCAAGCATTCTGGATAATGACTACGCAGCTCACCATTCTCGCCTGCACCGCAAACCCAAGCTCAATTCCGGAGCCTGGGCTCCTAGAATCAGTGATCAAACGCAGTATCTACAGGTGACCTTTGAGCGACCATTGGCTCTATACGGGTTACTTATCGCTGGGGATCCCCATCTGGACAACTACGTCACCCTTCTTAAGTTGGTGTATAGTCTGGATGGCGAGGGCTATCATGAACTTATTGGCCAAGATGGAGGACCCCAGGTGCTGGTGGGGCCTAAGGACTCAAGGGTGGCAAGAGCTCATGTTTTCCAGCGTCCGATTGAGGCCAAAGCCGTGCGGCTATATCCTCTCAGGTGGCACCATTCCATTGCCATAAGATTTGATCTTTTACTGTGTAACCATGTGCCCACCACCACACCCCCAATAGTCGACAGGACCACAGCTATCCCGCCCACGCGACCACCAAGGTTTCATTTGATCTGCGAGGATCCTCTTGGCGTCGATAATGGAGCACTGCAGGCCCACCAGGTTTCGGCTAGCAGCATCTGGCTTTCGTCGCAGCTCGACACAGATGAGGGACTATTAGATCTACTTAGATTCCGATCTAAGTTAGGATGGCGGCCGCTGGCCAACAAGTTGGATGAATTTGTTGACTTTGACTTTCTTGAACCACGTAATGTAACCGGAATTCAGACACGTGGAGGAGCTCATGGATGGGTCACTTCCTATCGAGTTCTATTCTCCTCAAACAAGTTGGTGTGGAACGAGCTGCCGGGTCCGCAGGGAGATGCCCACATATTCGAGGGCAACCAGGACAGTAATAGCATTCACACAAACGGATTTTTGCGGCCACTGGTGACGCGTCATCTTCGTTTGGTGCCCACAACATGGGATCAGAATATAAACTGGAGAATCGAGCCCATTGGATGCTTCGAGCCTTATCGTAAGAATCTCTTCAGACCTAGTCATAAAGATTAATCATACTTAAAATGTTTTTGCAGCAAATAACACCCAGCCTCCTCCAAATCGAGTGTGTAATCTATGCGATGGCATCGAGTTAAACTGCACCGTTTCCAAGTGCCCCTGTGTCGAAGATCTCTTCTGGACGGGTTCCAAGTGTGTCGAGCGCAATCTTTGCCCTTGCATTGACAGTTATACCCCGTAAGAAGAGAATTACGGTTTTCTGAAACCTTTTTGATAGAATGATTTTACAGCTATCCAATTGGATCCAAATGGGAGAACTCGGACTGCGAGGAGTGCGTATGCCTGTTGGGTGGCGTAGTTAGTTGCAAAACTAAAAGCTGCCCGCAATGTCCTGCCCACATGAGGAGTATCCGGAGGGGTTGTCGGTGCGAGTGTCAGTTGTGTCCACCAACCACTCGTCTATGCCCCACCAGCGGAGATTGCATTCCCCCTGAGTGGTGGTGCAATGGAGTGCAGAATTGCGCCGATGACGAGGATGAGACTTGCGACCCCACTCAAACCACTTTGAAGCCCCGTAAGTCAATTTCTTTCTTAATAAATAAAAATGATTAAATAACTCAAATATATTTTTTCACATCCATTCCAGCAACCACTAAGAAACCTCTTGTGTGTCCGCCCCTTGTGTGCCCACCTGGCTACTCCGTAAAGATCAGAGGAAAACTACCCATAGCCTTTTCCGAAATGCTTTATATTTCGGAGGATCCCACGGAGGATGGTTCCTTGGACCCACTGGGAGATTGGCTGGAGCCTTTGAAATCCTCAGACCAGCCAGAAATTGCTCTTGGTGCATTTAGGTTATTTGCAAAGTTTGGAGCTAAATTCGGACCTAAAATGTTTAAAGTTATCAAGAAATTGGGTACCAAGTTGGGTAGTAAGATCAGGGACGTTATTATCGAGAAGTTCGGAGAAAAGGTGGCAGAAAAAATTGACGACCTGACGTCGAAGAAGGAAATGAAAATTTTGACCTTGGAGCGCCTAGAGTTTAATGAGTTGCCTCTTGTTCCGGCAAAGCCCCAGCTGGAGCATTCATCCTTTGACCAAGATGATGTCAATGAACTGCTGGACTTATTAGGAATTGAACCGCAAGACATTCCAGATTTTTCGGGTGACTGGGATGAATTCCTTGCTGATGACGAGGACGACGTCAACGATACTGATCAAGACCAAATCAATGATCTACTTGGCCTTATGGGCATTGTGCCACAAGAAAATCTTGGATTCGCAGAGAATGGAGCGGACGAATCCTTGGACACCGAAACCCAGTTGGTGTTAAACGGTGCTAGTGGGGCAAATGTTAGCCCTTATGGACTTAACTTCCAGCTACCGACTGGTATCCGAGATGCTTACCAACGAAGGGGTACGTTTAGGGTAAGGGATCGCCAGGACGTTGAACTGTGCGACAGCTTCTGCTGTATACCCCAGCAGAAAGTAACATGCGAGGACCCACAGTGCCCAACGGGCTTTGAACCAATATTGGATACAACTAGCATAGGAACTGACAAGTGTCCTACTTTTACATGCCGACGCCCTCGGATTCCAGACGATACTTGCGACATCACTGGAAGAATCTTCCGAACCTTCGATGGTACGGTGTATAAGTACGATATCTGCAGTCACACTTTGGCGCGCGATTCACAAAACAACCGATGGACAATCAGCACTCAGCTCCAGTGCGCTTCCGATCAGCCAAGTTGCGGTTCCAAGACTCTGGTTATCAGCGATGTGGAAGGGGATGTGACTATAACCATTCTGCCCAATCAACGGGTTATCTACAACAATTTCGAGTTTACTATCCATGATCTAGCGCTGGTCAAGCCTGTCCGCCGATCTTTTGTGATCAGCCAGTTGGGCGGTACAGTTGTGGTGGTATGTCGACGTCACAAGTTCTGGGTGCAATATGCCGCTAGTGGTAATATTAGGATCGGAGTATCCCAAGTACTCTTGGGGCAAGTGGATGGGTTGTGCGGTTTTTACAATGGCCAGCTCGACGATGATAAGCGCACGCGTACTGGCTTGCATGTTATCAGCACCACGGACTTTGGCGATTCGTGGTACGATAGGAAACTTCCATTGGACAAGTGCCAACCACAGGTGTGTCCCCTGGATCTGCAGCAACGGGCGCTCCAAATGTGCCAGGCTGTGAGGTGAGTCAATTAATAAATGCCATCGTGTAATTTCTTGTGATCCTTTCTTGAATTTCGCCATAGGCATCCCTCGTTTGAAGGCTGTGGCTTATCTGTAAATATCGAGGATTTCCTGGTCAAGTGCGTGGAGACAACCTGCGAATGTCTGAAATCTAATGGCGGTGCCGAGGGCAGTTGTCGTTGTGATCTCCTCCAGATTTTTGTTGGCCAGTGTCTTGCGGTGAATCGCAATCTTTTGCTGACAAGCTGGAGAAGCATTCACCGCTGCGAGCCCACATGTCGACCGCCCTTGGTGCATCATGATTGTCACCGCCAGCGGTGCGAGCCCCAGTGCGCCCTGACCAGTAACTCGGCTTCCGTATGCCCCACCATTCCGGACACATGCTTCCCCGGCTGCTATTGCCCAGAAGGCACGGTCCGGCGAGGTGACGACTGCGTGCCTTTGGATGATTGCAAGGACTGTAAGTGCAGTCTGTTTGGCCTGAACAAATTCGTCACCTACGATGGCAGCAGCTTCAGTTTCAAGGGCATCTGCACATATCTGGTAACGAGGGATCTTCTTCTGCCGGGAAGTTTTAACTTCCAGGTATATGCGACAATAAAACCATGTGGACTGACCAAGGAGGAGAGCTGTGTAAGTGCTCTCCGTGTTACAGCCGGTGAGCATACCCTCCACATCGAGCGTCACGAAAACGAGGTGAAGCTATTGGCCGACGGTTACCAGGTATCGCTTTGGCCTCACCAGTCGCCCTGGCTAAGGATTAACCAGCCCGGTGAGCAGGATCTGATTGTGCAGCTACCCCAAGTTAAACTGGAGCTCTTGGTTAATCTGAATACTTTACAATTCCAGGTGAGCTACTCAAATTAAACTTGGAAAAAATCAATTTTAAACCTCCTCCAATTTCAGCTCACAGTGCCCTCTGTCCGCTATGGCAGTCGCATGGAGGGATTGTGCGGCAACTGCAACGGCTTGAGTATTGACGATCTGCAGATTAACCCGGCCAAACCGAAGCCGGCGGAGCCTCGTCCCTTTGACCTTGTCGACTTCGTGACCAGCTGGCAGGTAAACGAGCCACGCCTTGGCATCGACACTCGCTCCTGTCACCATCAGCAGGTGTGCAAGCCGTTACCGCAAGATCGGAATGTTTGCTACCAACTGATTGTGCAATCCGGCATCTTCGGCCGCTGTCCTCTACTGGTAGATCCTCTGCCCTTCATCGTGGCCTGTCAGAAGGACTCGTGCACGGCTACTGATAATAAGCAAGTGGTCTGTGACGTTCTGACAGCCTACGCGGATGCCTGTAACCAGGCGGGTGTGTGTGCCGACTGGCGACCTTTCAGTGAGTGTCCAGCCGAGTGCTTGCCAGGAATGACCTATAGGCCATGTGACTGCGACGTATCCTGTGAGACGGGAGTGGATCGGGTGGATCAGAGCAACCTGGAGGTAATCTACAAGGGACGCTGTTTGCATACGGCGCGTCATGAGGGATGCTTCTGTCCGCCTGACAAGGTACTACACCACGGAAAGTGTGTGTCGCCCAATGAATGCGTGACTTGTGGCGATGGACGACATGTAGGAGACGTCTGGCAGCCGGATAAGTGCACTCGGTGCCAGTGCTTGGGCAGTGGACGAGTTAGCTGTGAAAAGGAAAACTGCAACAAGGACACCGGTCCCATCTGTCAGAAGGGCTACAAGCTTGTGGTTCTGCAGCACGACTTTGAGTGCTGCCCCACACTCATTTGCATGACGGACCCTAAAAAGCCCGGACACATCTGCGAAAAGCCCAAACTGCCCGACTGCGGACCCCATCAGATTCGCATTGTGGACGAGGATGTCCATGGATGCTCTGTTTACAGATGCGGTGAGTTGTCGTTTTCATAAGAACTATTAACGTCCGAAGTTTTTAAATAAACAGGGATCTTTTACCATTAATATCTTTATCTCAATTTATAGAATGCAAACCAAGTGATCAATGTGAGCCGTTGCCATCGTTGGTTGTCAAGCCTGGCGAGAAATTGGAGAAAATAGTGGATGGATGCTGTCCAAGCTACAGACTAATCTGCCTTCAGGAGTCCTGTCCAAAGCCACCGGCCACCTGCGATGAGCTGCATTACGAACTGATCTCGGAGAAGAAACCCGGCGACTGCTGTCCGGTGTATAAGTGTGTGCCTCCAAAGGACAAGTGTCTCTATAGACACGAAGACCAGGTGCAGGTGTATCGTGTAGGCGACAAGTGGCAGCTACCCAGGGATCCCTGCGCCGCCTATGAGTGCGTGCTGACGAACAATATGGTAATCACAGTGACCACGTTGCTCACCTGCGAGAAGAAGTGTCCCCTTGATTTAACCTATGAGCACACGAACAACGCTAAATGCTGCGGATCCTGTGTGCCAACGGGCTGCGTCCACGATGGAAAACTATACAAACCGAATGAAACTTGGACAAGCCCAGACAAATGCACAGTTTACTCGTGCGTTCACATCCAGGGTCAGCTAATCATCCACGAACTGCACGAATCGTGTCCGGATGTAAGTCGCTGTCCTGCGGAACATCTCCAAGATGAGGGAGGCTGTTGCAAGCGCTGCAAGATTCCACCACCGCCGCTAGATCAAGTCGATTGTCAGGCTGTTACGGTGGCTTCCACTCTCACCATTGGCATGATTATGTTCCAAAGCCAGGACCATGGACAGTGCCACAACGATCAACCCATTCAAGGCGTGACCCAGTGCGAAGGGGCCTGCAATTCGGCTTTTAAGTACAATCCCCTACTAAACAAATACGAGGACAAGTGCAGCTGCTGTGCTGCAACGGGATTGAAAAAGCTGTTTGTAAAACTTACATGTGCTGATGGCAGCCCGTTAGATCACGCCCTGGAGGTGCCCACAAGCTGTAGTTGCGAACCCTGCAGCAAACATCACCTGACATTGACCAGCGAGAGCAAGACTGTACCTAAAAATTCTTTAGGTAATTCTGATGTAGCTGAAGAAGATGGAGAAGAACTTGACCTTCAGGATCTCCTAGGTCAAAGCGGAGGCGTTATTTCGCGTTGATAGAATTTAAAGTTTTATACTCAACCAATCTTTTCATTTAGATACCCACCTTATTACTTTACTATGAAACATCAAACTTATGACAAAGACTTAAATTTTAAGAATAGAAAATTGTATTGTATGTAAAAATAAAAAAAAATTAAGTTGAATAAAAAAAATGTTAATGCAGTTCACATTTTAAAATTTTAACAAAACCGTTAAATCGTGCGATAGATTTTGTAATCAATATCTTGTCGATTTGCGATAGTTCTTGTCATAACAGCTGTTTACGATAGAAATATCGATGTGTGTTGTTTTAATTAATACGAATCAAAACAAACCACAGATTTTGCAGAAAAAGTTTCCTAATTTTAAACTGAAGTGTTTTTAAAACAAATACCGGCATGCAGTCTGCCGCCCTAAGTTATGTCCTGTCCTTGAGGCAGATTGTTTCGCTCGCCAGGCGACAATGTTCTGTCAATGCGCAATCAACGCTTTCCGGCTCCCGAACAAATTCCCAGCAACGGCCACCACAGGCGACGAAGTCCCTGGAAAAAATGAGAGGATGGCAACTTCATAATTATGGAGACATTGACGAGCTGCAGATCTCCGATAAGCTGAAGATCCCGCAAATTCGAAGCTCAAACGAGTGTCTAGTGCGGGTCAGGACGACATCTGTAAATCCTATCGACCTGGCAATGCTCCGCGGGTACGGGGCCATGGTGCTGAACAAAATGCGATGCCTGCCAGGCGACGGCATCGAATTCCCGCTAATATTGGGCCGAGAGTTCTGCGGCGAGTTGGTACAGACGGGTATGGCAGTTCCAACGGACTCATTACCCCTGGGAACCCGCGTCTGGGGAGTGGTCCCCCTGCAGGCCAGCGTTGGAGCCCATGCGGAGTATGTAGCCGTGCCTTCATATTGTGTAAGTAGTTTACAAATAAAAAAAAATCTTAAAAGTAATCTGTAACATATAGCTCGCTCCTGCCCCAAAAGAACTGGATGACAACGAAGCTGCAAGCGTTTTGTACGCCGGATTAACGGCTTGGTCTGGTTTGTACGTCACTGGAGGACTAGGTGGTCCGTGTGGCGCCACCACAGCTGCCGGCGGAGGTGCCCACAAACGTGTTTTAGTCCTGGGGGGGTCCGGTGGTGTTGGCACTTTGGCCATACAAATCCTGAAGTCTCAAAAAGTGCAAGTTCTTGCTACCTGCAGTGAAAATGCCGTAGATATGGTCCGAAATCTGGGAGCTGACATTGTTGTCGACTACAACAACAGCGCGGCCATGGAAGAACTTGGCAAGTACGCACCCTATGACATCGTACTAGACTGTGCCGGACAAGGAGGTCAGAAAGCAGCAGAATCAAAATTCGATTTCCGGCAGTACATCACCTTTTCCTCCCCGTTGCTTGCCAACATCGATAAACAGGGGCTGGGACTGGGAGCGCTTAAAAATGTATTTGATTTGGTCCAGACCAATGTTAGGTCCGTCACGCAGCGTGGAGGTCTTGTAAAATGGGGGTTCTTCAGTCCCGCACCACAAGGCATCCAATTTTTACAGAAATTAGTGGAGCAGCGGAAGGTTAGTATTTTTCTTTCGAGTTGTTCTGTAGACTAATTCCTTCTGTTAACTTAGCTGATGCCGTTGATTGATAGCAGCTTCGATTTTGTTGATCTACCCAAGGCCTTTGAGAAGATGAAAGGCGGTCACTTGCGGGGAAAAATTGTAGTGAAGCTCTGAGAAGACTCACAGACTGATATTGTTGTTTCTGTTCCATTAAAGGCTTGTGTTGGTTAATTAAATCACAACAACGAACTACTTAGTGAAACTGTAAAGCTTTGACGCCATTTAATTTCATCGCAGCCGATTACCCACGGTTCAAAGACTGTAATTTCAAGCCAAGTCACTGACGCATTAGAATATTTATTATATAAAATATTAGCGGATCTTCGCGATTATTGGACTGCCGTTCGTCAAGGATCACCTTTAAGTCACCGTGAAAAACCTCTCAGCCTCTTATCATTAACAGATCTGAAGGGCAAGTGTTCGTCAGGTAGCTTGTGATTCACCTTTGGCGAACTGAATGAGCTTAAACCATTAACGGTGGTCGTGAAGGCCAGAGTGAGCTGGAACTGCTGGCATAATTAGGGGAGAACTGACAAAATACTGTATAATCAGTAAAAGAGAGGTATGCAGCACTTGATGGTCGTCCGTCCATCGTAAAACTATTCTCGGACCAATGTTGACGAAGTCCGACACACGCCATAGGGCTATGAAAATTTCCGTGCTTCTAATTTTATTCCATCGCCTGCTTGGCTAGCTGCCCCATTAGCGTCCAATACCCAGATTCCTTATCAAAGATTGAGTGGCCGGCGGGGCGATTCCGCAGCACGCGGCTTGCTCGCTCTAATCACATCGTTCACATGCGTTCGCAACGCTCCAAAGCATCAGAACATGACCAGCTCGCAATCGCCAAGGTCGAGGCTTTCCAAAAGCTAACAAAAATGCCTCTCCATCGCCGCTATCATCCGACATAGCCGGCAAAAAACCAAGAATGCACGCTTCTCTGTTTTGTTTTGGTTTTTATTAATAGCTCTCAATTTGTTACCGGGCTCGTCACTCTTGATATGGACGAAATTTCCTATCTTAAGCTATCCGTAGTCGAAATACCCTTAAAGTTCTCTTGCTTCGTATTTCCTGCAAACAAAAAAGGGCAAAATAATTAACATTTTTGACAAATTGAATACAGTATAAGTTACGAAGTCACTCTAGTAATCGCTATACCTGAACTAGGGTACTAAAGATTGTTTGGGGAAAATTTTTTGTCTGAGCTTTCTGAAGGCCTTGAAATCCCAGCGCTTATCTGATGTCTGAATGAAATTAGCTATTATTGGGAAAAATTGTCAAGGCAGAAACTAGCATGAGCACTTAAGTATGTAATAGTACTTGCTTATAAGCATATATGTCATGCATTTTGTGGTTGCTAATTTAATGATAAACTTGTTTTTACAAGTTTACAAATTCTAAAATTTATTTTTCCTATCAAGTTGTTACGGTTTGGAAATATTCTTCTGAATGATTTCGTTGTGTGCAGAAAGTTAATTAAAACGATTGCTTAAAAATTGGAGCAAGCTGAAGGGTTCTATGGCATTTTTTGGAAAATATTTGCATCTAATTAATAGAAATTGGGTCTCGTTAATACGCATTTATTTCGTCTAGTGTATTAATTTGATTTAATTTGGTATTTTGAACAGAAGAGGACGGCACCAAATAAGCTGTCTGGCAGCAATGTGCTTTCGATCAAGGATGCGTGTGGAAATATTTCAAACCCACAAGGTCTTGTCATGCTATAGTCATGCTCATTCAACATCAGTACTTTGTAAAATTCAGAATACAAGTTACAAGCCGAGAAACAGAAAAAACGTAAATTTACAAGATCGCCAAAACTAAATTTATAATGAATACTAATTCGACATTGCTGCCTTATATAATGGGCTTGCTCAGTGAGCAGCCTCACCTATGTAAGTAATTTTGGAAAGCTTCTAAATTTAAAAGATAGTTCATTTTATTAGCGTTACTCTTTCAAATGAACTGTTATCTAATATTTATATTCATTTTTATCAGGCACCACTAGAGAGGATCTGATTAAGAAAATTAACGATGTGGTGCTTGAAGAGCACATAGCTCCTTTCGGCAGTCTCGAGCGTGCTGTGGACTTTGGTCTTGTCGTGGGCGTCAACCTGGGGATCATCTCCCTGACCAATGAAAGGGTCCGTTTGCCCTTTAATTTTCGAACTAGACAGGCCAGTTACAAGGTGCCCTCTGGACCCAAGATCTCGCCTTGTCAGGGACGTCGGGCCATTAGGCAGCGGACGCCAACGTCAAAAGCGGCCAAGTTCATGGGTTTAAAGAGGTCAGGACGGAAGTCGGCAGGAAAGACGTCTGGCGAGGTGAAGAAGAAACAGTCCTAATGATTTCTCCCTTTTCATACCGAACTGCCGGCTGTATACGGGCGTGTTATTGAACCAGACGGACAAGCTTCCGAACAACTGGGTTAACTAGGTGAAGTCGGCAGCGATGGCACACACTTGGACTAATTACCAGGACAGGGGCACAGAAAATAAATTTTAAAAAGGGTAAATTTGTTTTCTCCTACGTCGCATTTTCCATTTGATTTAATCGAAGTTAGAGGCGAGTTTTGCATAAAAATGAATAATTCAGCGGTTGGTGAAGCCGATTTTGGCGCAGTCATAATGAGATCGGTGGGTTTAGAATAAGCTATGGTTACGGCGGAATTAAAAATGCGGCTTTTGGTGGCCACCGATGCCCCCTGTTCCCGTCCTCGCATATCAAATATATATAAGGAATTCGATGGTTGCAGCCCTTGTTCAGTCTGTTTGCGGAACAAGTCGGATCAATACGTGGCCACCGAAAGGATATATAATCACAAAAACAAGGACCTGCTCTTCCAACTGCTATCCTGGTTGTACCTAGCGAATAAAGGATACGCGACTAGAAAACTAAAGTGAAAAAGGTGGCCCTTGAAAAGTGAATTGTTGCCTCCCCAAAAATCAAATATCTTTCCGAATAACTAACAAGAAATGTGAGTCGAGTGATAATCAATAAAAATAGTGGCGTGTTTTACTAAGCATTACATTCTGCAATGAATTTCGAATTATAAATGCCAAGGGCTTTGGACTTCGCCAGAATAACAAGTTGCAAAAAGAAATTCCAAAGAATTCACGTGAAAAGTTTTCATTATACGCCTACTTATCGTTAATTCAAAGAATTAAAGTACTCAATAGAAATGGTGTGATGTTTTTTAATTACCAAAAAGTGCCTAACTAATCGTTTAAAGAAAAATATATATATATATATAATCAACCGCGGCTGCTAATATATTCTTTACAAGGATTTGTGCTATTATTTTTTTGTGACCAAAATAATATAAAAAAACTAAAATTGACTGAAAAGAGTTTGCTACATAGTATTTTAATTATTCAAATTTAAATTAACAAACTATTAAACGAAGCCACACTTTTGGATTTGCAATCAAAATATTAAAAATATGAGTAGACCTTGGGAAATAAAAACAATTTTTATACAATCATCTAGACACTTCGAATCTGTACAGGGGAAACCTTTGACCTAACAAAACAATTCAGAAAGCATTCGTTGTGTGCGTTCTGGCACGCGCCGCATTCGTTGACTCGAATGCTAGCATAGCATTTAGGGGGAATATTCTATCAAAAGCTTATCGGGGCTTCTGCTTCCTCGGCGTCCCCAATCCCGCCCAGGTGCAGTGCACGCAGTCGAGAGCTGGACGACTATCTCGAGAGCCGGCTCCCGTAACTTGGCAACAGGAAACCAAGTGACCCGTACCTGGCACCCGCCTCCTCCTTCTCCATCGTTTTGGAAACTGCCGAATAGGCGAATCGTACGATCCCAGCATGTAGTTTTGATAGGCAAAGAAAGGTGACTGCTGTTGCAATATTTCCTTATCAGCTGGGCAGCGAAATTCATTAAATCAAGTAGAGAAAATCGATTGCGATCAAGTGCTTATTACTCATGAAATGTCGATTCACCACTTTTAATAGGTAGGCCTTATCTAGGCATCTCAGACAAATAGAGCTGGTTGTTTGAATTGTGTAATCTTTTTTGGATTACTTCTAATTAAAAATGGAATTTCGTGTAAAATCTAGAACTAAATATGTAAATTTATACTTTCCTATTTCTACATGATCTACCCCCAGACCTTGACCATTGTTGTTATTTATGTTGTTTGTTTGTTTGGTGACCGTTTATTGTTGTCTTATAATTTATTTTGGCAATCTTGTTTACAAATAGTTTTGCTGATACCATTCGACCGATTATTTCCAATGTTTTCGAAAAGTAAAGGGTAATGTGAAGGTAAATTGAAGTAAATAAATGTTTTATTGACTAAAATTAAAAGTGTTCAAGGTTTGACATTAAAATATTTTTTTTGTTTATCAGTTATGGCTTGCACGGAGAGTTCTTTTATGAACAAAGAGTAACAAATATTAATTATTATGTCTAAAAAAAAGGTTATAAATTTGAATTGGGGGCACACCCTGCAATCCCGACTCAAATTAGTTTCCATATAAGTACTACATAGATTTTATTATATAGTCTTTGTTATATTGCTTGATATGATAAAGGTACCTATGAAGCGATAGAATCGTATTAGTTCAGATATCTGTGTAAAATCTTTGAATTTGATATCTCATGCAGACTGAGGCTGTTTTTATGACTGGAGTGGAATCAATTCATTTATTACTATTGTAATTAGAAAATAAAATAGCATACATTACCAACGCCCATATTGATATAGTTTACCTTGTAAAAACCACTATGATTGTTTCTTTATAAAGAACTAAATATACACCAAACTCACCCACCTTTTATACAACTCTCGACATTTTATTTATGGATGACGATTCGCTTAACTACGGCTTTTTTGCGAAATTCCTAGATATCTTTATAGTTGGATCCCATTCAGACTGAGCCAGGACAAAGCCTAGAGGATGCCGAACAAGAAGAAAGTCCAGGCGGAAACGGCGGGGGGCGAGGACGGAGACATTGTGATCTCTGGGCTTTCCGGAAAACTGCCAGAGAGCAGCAACATCGAGGAGTTCAAGCACAACCTGCTCAATGGCATCGACATGGTCACAGATGAACCCCGTCGATGGGAAGCAGGTTAGCACCGATGCATGTTCACAATGTTCTTTAGTTTTATGTTCGCAGTCTTCTCTTAAGTCCCCTCGACCTTATTCAGGTTCCCAGAAAATTCCCAAATAGTTTCCACAAGCAAATAAATCTAAAACTGGCTTTAGCCTGTAGTTATTAGGTGTAGTTTTGTAATTTGCCTGTTTCATATTTTTGCTTTATATATTATATATATTTCAATGTTCACATATGTATATTCTTAAAGGCATCTATGGACTTCCCGAGCGCATGGCCAAAATGAAGGACTCCGATCTGGAGAAGTTCGATGACAAGTTCTTCAGCGTTCATCAAAAGCAGGCAGAGCTGATGGATCCCTGCATGCGGATGCTGCTGGAGCTCACCCACGAGGCGATCATAGACGCAGGCATTAATCCCGCTCAGCTGCGGGGCAGTCGGACCGGCGTCTACATAGGACTGTCCTTCGTAGAGACGGAGGTAGGTATTTATATATGTAATTTTACCAATTTTAGTTTTAAGTAGCTTTTTCATTTTTATTTCGTATTTGTAAAAGCACGAGATACCTAACATGGAGCCGAGCAGTATCAACGGCTACTGCCTAACGGGATGTGCGCGGGCAATGTTTGCCAACAGGATTTCCTATACTTTTGACTTCAAGGGTCCCAGCTTCATCGTAGATACCGCCTGCTCTAGTTCGTTGGTGGCCCTAAACCACGCCTTCGCCGACATGCGGGCTGGTCGCTGTGATTATGCTCTGGTGGCAGGGGTGAATCTTATCCTGAAACCCATCTTTGCGCTTCAGTTTCTGAGACTGGGAATCGTGAGCCACGACGGCTCCTGCAAAACCTTCGATGCAGGGGCTAATGGCTATGCTCGGGCGGATACCTGTGCGGTGGTCCTGCTCCAGAGACGGAAGGAGGCTAAACGGGTTTACGCTAGCATCTTGAATGTCCGAACAAATACGGACGGATTCAAGGAGCAGGGAGTTACCTTTCCAGATGGTGCCATGCAGCAGGCTTTGCTGGAAGAGACGTACAGCGAGATTGACCTCAATCCGGATGAGGTTGTGTATGTGGAAGCACATGGCAGTGGCACGCCAGTGGGCGATGACCAGGAGGCCAATATGCTGGGAAACTTCTTCTGCCGGCCCTCTCGATCTAGTCCTCTCCTCATTGGATCTGTGAAATCTAACATGGGGCACGCGGAGCCAGCTTCTGGAGTGAGTGCCCTGGCCAAGATGATCATTGCCATGGAGGAGGGTATTATTCCAAAGAATCTTCACTACCGCACGCCCAATCCTTCGGTACCGGCTTTGGTTAAGGGACACCTTAAGGTAGTAGATCGGAATCTACCCTGGAAGGGTGGCATCGTAGGTCTGAATTCCTTTGGCTTTGGAGGGGCCAATGCACACGTGGTGCTTAAGTCCCATCCAAAAGATAAAGTTCTAAGGACTTTTTCAAAAGCAGGGGAGTCCGAACCATCGCTGAAGTTAGTAATCTGTTCTGGACGCACAGAGGATGCAGTGCATCAATTGCTAAATGTATCCACTGAACAAAGGCACGATCAGGAACTGCTTACTCTTATCAATGACATCCACTCCCATCCGATTCCCTTGCATCCGTTCAGAGGGTACGCTGTCCTTGGAACAAGTGGCTCTGTTAAAGAAGAGGTGCTGCCCTACGAGGAGGAGGAACGACCCATTTGGTTCGTATACGCCGGTATGGGCAGCCAGTGGGCTAGCATGGCCAAGGATCTTATGCAGCTAGAGGTGTTCCGAAAGTCCATACAGCACTGTGCCGAGGTGAGTTTTAAATCAGCTTTTAATTTTATTAATACAGATTTTTATTCCATGAACATCAGAATACATTTATTAACTATTTGTATAACTTAGAATTATTTGGGATTATGAAATTTCTCTTTATAACGAACACATTTTTAACTTAATAGCCAGCTCTCATCCATCAGTATTGCCTACTTTAGGGTTACCTGTTTTCGCTCTTCTTTTGCCTTGCAATTCCCAAGCGGTTATAGCGGCTGTATGACATATAGGTGATTCGCTGGGGGTGAAAAATTGCTCTGGTTTCTCTTCAATTGTCGAATAAATCTTTCGCCTTTTACTAAAGATTTCCGTGGAGAGGAGCACTCTAATGAGTCTAAACTGAATTTTTTCGAGTGCCCCGAGTGCTTATGCATTTGGGGCCATAAGTAATAAATTACCACATTAAATGCTAAATACAGTGATCGTCGATGGATGCAGATTCGTATCATTTGACAAGATTTTTTTCTTACGATTGCAACGCTTAGAAAGAACTCTTTGTTTCGTGGATGGTTCTATTAGTTCAATTAGTTCAAACTAGTCTGCCAAGAAAATTCGTAAGGGAATATATATAAATCTTTATACAGTAGGCACTTTATAAAGAAGCCACTGAAAACTGGTAATTGGTAACTTGAAGCAAACCCTGTTTTCACCTTTCTGAGCACTATAATTCCCAAGGTCTGGTGCAGATCGAATAGAGAGGTCTTGTTCTGGGGCGCTAAGGTACTCTGGTTTCTCTTCAATAGTCGAATAAATCTTTCGCCTTTTACTAAAGATTTCCGTGGAGAGGAGCACTCTTATGAGTCTAAACAGAATTTTTGTCTAGAGCCCAGCGGATCTATACCTTGCAGGGCCATAAAGAATACATTTAAAAGAAAAGTTTATTATTTACATATATATTATTTTTGTTATTTATGTTTTTATACTAAGCTGTTGTGCACTTAGAAATAAATTCTGGATTTAAATATTTGAGTATTCTATTCATTGCAGGTTTTGGCCAAGGTGGACTTTGATCTTATAGACGTTTTGACCCGTTCCACGGAGCGCACTTTTGATAATATGCTGTACTCCTTCGTATCCGTCTCCGCTGTACAGGTGGCATTGACTGATCTTCTCCGAGTGCTGGACATCCGGCCAAATGGAATCATTGGCCACTCGGCTGGTGAGCTCGGAGCAGCCTACATGGATGGATGTCTTACAGCGGAGCAAACAGTTCTAGCCGCCTACTGGCGAGGCAGGAGTGTTCTGGACACTCCGGATTTGCCTCGTGGTAAGATGGCAGCAGTGGGTCTCAGCTGGGAGCAGATCGGATCGCATATACCACACGACTGTTATCCGGTGTGCCACAACAGCGATGACAATTGCACAGTTTCTGGGCCACCAGCTTCAATGGATGCAATGATAGAGAAGCTCACGAAGGAGGGAATCTTTGTGAGGGAAGTGGGTTCCGGAGGTTATGCCTTCCACAGTCCGTACATTGAAGGTGCTGCTCCTATGCTGCGTAGAAATCTTGAGAAACTAATTACGAAGCCCAAAAGGAAGAGTTCGCGATGGCTGAGCACCAGCGTCAGTGAAAATGAGTGGAACTCGGAGAAGAACCACCTCGCATCTGCGGGCTACTTTATCAATAATCTGATATCTCCTGTACTGTTCCACCAAGCGGTCAAGAAGATCCCACAGAATGCCCTCATTGTGGAGATTGCACCACATGGACTCTTCAGGGCGATTCTCCGTTCGTTAAGCCCGCAAATCAGCTATGTGAGTCTCATGCAGCGGGGCCATGCCAACAACTTTGAGTTCCTCCTAAGCCAGTTGGGAAGGCTTTTTGCTGCTGGTGGACAGCCACAAATCCTCAAGATCTCTCCTGTCGTTGCCTATCCCGTTTCCAGAGGTACTCCCATGCTGGGTTCCTTGGTTGGTTGGGACCACACTCAGAAATGGAACTATCCCAAGTTCAAGGGGGGACGGCAAGCTGGCCAGCTGAGTGTGGAACTGGATTTGGGCAAGGAGGAAAATGCATATCTTGCAGGACACACCATCGATGGGAGGGTCCTGTTTCCGGCAACGGGTTATATGACCCTGGCTTGGATGAGTCTCGCCCAACAGCAGGGATTGGACTACTTGCGCACTCCAGTGCTTTTTGAAGATGTGGTTTTCCATCGGGCCACGATCCTTAGTGTGGGCACTGTGGTGAAATTAACACTTAACTTTTTCCCGGGCAGCAGCTCCTTTGAAATTTGCGAGGGAAGCAGTCTGGTGTCGTCGGGAAAAATCCGTCTGGTGACCAATGTACAGCAGGAGCAGCTCCAGCTGCCGTCTCTGCCGGGGATTGCTGGCTCCAATAAGTTAACCACGAAAGACATTTACAAGGAACTGAGGCTTAGGGGCTATGACTACAGCGGTGTTTTCCAGGTAAGTTTTAGCCTAAATATTAGTATAAACTAAGTTGTTGGAAACAAATATTTGTTTTTTTAATACGTATTTATTATTATTATTTTACTACATGTTTTATTTTTAATCATTTTATAACCCCTTCAGGGCATTTTGGAGACGGATATTGCAGCAGTAACAGGTCGCCTGCAGTGGTCAGAAAACTGGATCAGCTTTATGGACACCATGCTGCAGTTCCGTATCCTGAGCAATGACATCCGTGAGCTTTACGTGCCCACGGGGATCAAAAGGGCACTAATTGATCCGCTAAAGCATCTAGAACTGGCAAAGAAGCACCAACAGAAGCTAACTGTCAACTGGCACCGCAATATATCTGTGGTCAAGTGCGGTGGCGTGGAGATCCACAAGATGAAAACCGCTCAAACCCAAAGACGATCCGGCGGTCAATCTGCTCCCAGCCTGGAACGGTATAGATTTTGGCCTCATTTCCAGCACTTGGGTCAGAGAGAGGATCAGCAAAAGTCAAGAAGCACAGCCCTGGCAGTTGCCATTCAACTGGTGATCGAGAACAGTGGTGGAGCTGTAAAACTTAAAGGCGTGGAACTGGCTGGAACCCGATCCAGTTTGGATTCTCTAAGTGCCATGCAGCTCCTTGAGCTAATTGAACGAGAACCTATTCTGGTGGGGGACATATCAGTGGTTACCACCTCCTCCAATGAAGCAGAACTCACAGAGCAGCTCAAGGAGCACGGCATAAAGGTGATCGCCAAAGATATATCAGCTGGTGCTGTGGAGCAACAGTGTCATTTTGTCTATTCCGTTGATATACTAGCTAAGAACTCTCTAATCGATCTCCAGCATTGTTTGGATAGCCTAAAAGCTGAGTCGGGATTTTTGCTCCTGGAGGAAACGGCCAGCAGGTACAACATAATTGGAAAGGAAAAGTTGAGTAAACTTAAATTGGTACCAGTTTTGGAGCAGTTCTTTGGAACAGATCGGGTGCTTGTCTTGGCCAGGAAACCTTCCAGTGCACAATCCACCCAAGCCATAACTCTTCAGCTGACCAATAAGCAGTTCAAATGGGTTAACGAAGTTAAGAATTATTTTGCCAAAGCCCAAACAGAAAATAAAAATCTCTACTTGGTGGCCCAAGGCGAACTTAGCTCTGGAGCTTTGGGCTTTATGAACTGCCTAAAGAGGGAAGCGGGAGGAAACTGCCTACGGCTATATCTAATTCTCGACGAAGGATTGCCCCAATTTTCACTGGGGGAACCTTTCTATGCTGACCAGTTAGCCAAGGATCTAGCCATAAATGTTTACAGGAATGGCAGCTGGGGCAGCTTCCGACACCTTAAGATGAAATCCCAACCACCACTGCTGCCCGTAGAGCAGGCCTATGTCAATACCCTTGTAAAGGGTGATCTCTCCTCTCTTAGATGGATTGAAAGTCCTCGTTCGAGTCCCACCCAATCGCACTTGGAGCCCTGCACCGTTTACTATGCTCCGCTAAATTTCCGAGACGTAATGCTGGCTTCAGGGAAACTGGGGGTGGATGCTCTGCCGGGGGATCTGGCCTATCAGGATTGTGTCCTAGGGCTCGAGTTCGCTGGCAGGGACTCAAAAGGCCGTCGCATCATGGCCATGGTAACTGCCAAATCTTTGGCCACCAACTGCTTGGCTAACAAGAATCTTCTCTGGGAAATCCCTTCGAAATGGACAATGGAGCAGGCTTCAACGGTTCCGTGTGTCTATGCCACGGTGTACTACGCCTTGGTAGTGAGGGGTCAGATGAAGGAGGGTGAGAAGATCCTTATCCACGCTGGCTCTGGAGGAGTTGGTCAGGCGGCCATTTCGGTGGCCTTGGCTCATGGATTGACAGTGTTCACCACAGTGGGCAGCAAAGAGAAACGCGAGTTTCTACTGAAACGATTCCCCAAGCTGAAGGCTCGTAATATTGGTAATTCCCGAGACATTTCCTTTGAACAACTGATCATGAGTGAAACCCACGGTAATGGAGTGGAGCTAGTGCTAAACTCGCTTTCCGAGGAGAAACTACAGGCTTCCATTCGCTGCCTGGCCCTGAATGGCCGCTTTCTAGAGATTGGTAAATTTGACTTAAGCAACAACACCCCGTTGGGAATGTCTGTGTTCCTCAAGAACACATCATTCCATGGAATTCTACTGGATAGTGTTATGGAAGGGGAGGAGGACATGCAGCTAATGGTGGCCAAGTTGGTGACAGAGGGCATTAAGAGTGGGGCAGTACAGCCCCTACCCACTACGGTGTTTGCAGAACAGGAAATCGAAAAGGCTTTCCGTTTCATGGCCTCTGGCAAGCATATTGGAAAAGTGGTGATTAAAGTACGTCTTGAAGAGGAGCAGCAGGCTGCTCTTCCCAAACTCCGGCAGATTCAAGCCATTCCGCGTTCATACATGCATCCGGAAAAGAGCTACATCTTGGTGGGAGGACTTGGAGGATTTGGTTTGGAGCTTGCTAACTGGCTCGTATCCAGAGGAGCCCGCTTTCTGGTTTTGAGCTCACGTTCAGGGGTCAAGAGTGGCTACCAGGCTTTGATGATTCGACGCTGGCATGATCGAGGAGTTCAGGTTCAAATCGATACCAATGATGTGACCACTTCGGTGGGATGCCAAAAATTGCTCGAGGTAAGTAATAAACTGGCCCTGGTTGGGGGCATCTTCAACCTGGCGGCGGTGCTACGCGATGGATTGATAGAGGATCAGAGCTCAAAGAACTTTGAAATGGTTACTGCACCCAAACTATTAGCTACCAAACACCTTGACAGGATCTCCCGGGAAATATGCCCCGCCCTGGAGTACTTTGTGTGTTTTTCTAGTCTGTCTTGTGGGAGGGGAAACCTAGGACAGACCAACTACGGATTGGCTAACTCCACAATGGAAAGAATTTGCGAGCAGCGGCAAGAATATGGTTATCCGGGTACAGCAATACAATGGGGAGCTATTGGAGACACCGGACTGATCATTGAGCACATGGGCAACAACGAAACAGTGGTGGGTGGTACTCTGCCGCAACGGATGAACAGTTGTCTGGAGACTCTGGACCTGTTCCTACAGCAACCCCATCCAGTCATGGCATCCATGGTGTTGGCGGAGAAGCGGAAGACGGAGCAGGCTAATCGGATGAGTCTGATAGCCACAATTGCTAACATCATGGGCCTAAGGGATGTGAAGAGTGTATCTGACAAGACCACCCTCTTCGACCTGGGCATGGACTCGTTAATGAGCACGGAGATTAAGCAGACGCTGGAGCGGCACTTCGACTTGGTTCTGAGCGCCCAGGAGATCCGGCAGTTGACCTTCAGTGCCCTGCGACAGATTGACGCCCAGGAGTCGTCTTCAAGCTCACCCTCCTCCGCCCCTTCAGCCCCACCAACTGACAGGAAGGAGGCCCGCGTGGAAGTGCAACCCCAGAGCGATGAGACGCGCAAGGTATTCGCCAAGGAAGTATTACCCCAGGAGGTGATGGTGCGCCTCCAGTCTAAGGCGCCTGTTACCAGCGAGGAGCCGGCAGTGTTCTTCCTGGCCCCTATAGAGGGATTCACAATAGCCGTAGAGGCGCTGGCCGCCTCGCTCACCTGCCCTGCTTACGGACTGCAATGCACGGAGCAGGTGCCTCTGGAGTCCATTGAGGCCTGTGCCTCTTACTATCTTCGTCAGATCCAGAAGCTACAGCCTTTAGGGCCGTACCACATAGTGGGCTACTCCTACGGCTGCCTGCTCGCCCACGCCATTGGTGTGGCGCTGGAGCAACGTCGCTTAGGGGTCAAGGTCATCATGCTGGACGGCGCGCCCACCATGGCTAGCGGTTACGTCCAGGAAGCCAAGAAGCAGACGGACGACCTCAACCGACAGCAGTCCATGACTCTTGCTTACTTTGGAGCCCTGCTCGCCGATGTAGACTACAACGAGGTTGGTATTCTTGCTGATATTTTTTTAAACTATTTACTAATCCATTAATATTTCATCATGATAGTTGCTGCAACTGCTCGACGGTGTTCAGACGTGGTCGTCCAAGCTGGACAAACTAGCAGACACTCTGGCTGGTCATACGCAGCAAACCAGAGAAGTGGTAAGACTTTAGGACTTCGGCCTAAACCATTTAATTTAATTTGTTATTTTATAAATATTTAATTGGATTTTTTAAAAGCGTGTCAATTATTGACAGCTTCCTTGTTTATTTGATTCAACATTACTGATCCTCTATTAGATTAGAGATTAAGTTAATCATAGATAGTAATATAGTACTTATAAACTTAGTTGATGAGCAAATACCTGTAGTTAAGGGTGTGATTACATTCCTTCAATTAGTATACATTGCCCAGAGCAACTGCACAAGTGTTTACTTTTATTGTCGGAAAAAAGTGGCTTAATAAACGCACGGCAACCAAGTTACTGCAATATTAAGGTACTTATTCTTTGCAATTTGCTGTTGCCGTTTAAATAATAAATCTTAGAAGTTTATTAGCACTAAAAAGAACTTCAGGAACTCAGGAGTAATAAGAATATTATGCATTTATTTGTCATTGTTCACTGATATTACATATACTTTTACTTTTACATGGAACAGATCAAGAAGGCCGCCTGCATGTTTAAACAGAAGCTTCTACTTTCTGAAAGTTACAAGGGCGCCAAGCAACTTCACTGCGATGTGGTGCTGATCAAGTCGGCCGAGCACAATGCGATTATGGCACAGGATTATGGACTAAAGGAGGTACAACAATCGCATCTTAAATCTCTCAGTATTTTATTAAGAATTCTGTTTTCAATCCCTTGTAGATTTGCAGTGCCCAGATCGATATGCATGTGGTGGAGGGCACACATCGGACTTTCCTGAAGGAGCCGCATACTCTTCAGATCATAGAGCGCGTCCTGAAAAAACGTCCCTAGTGAAAGGCCAATAGTTTGTAGACCGACTCTTACGATTATGATGATGATATATTCCGTAGATATTAATGTATTCCTTAACAATACAAATACACGTAGCAATTTCCACATGATTGCTTAAGTAAAATAAACATATTGTAAAACAGCCGAACTTTACTAATTAGAACGCGCCTAAATCAACAAACTTATATAATTTCACTTGGGATTTTTGTGACTTAACAAGTAACTTTAAATACCTCATCTTCCTATATGTTATTTCCTATTATTTTGTTGGTAAACTTGTTATTTCCCTAACAAACGAGTACAAAAAATGATTTAAAATTAGTTTCGGTTAGAGAAGTTCGTCTGTGTTTCGAATTTTACTCGCAAATTATACTCGCGTGGTACTCGCATGATTTTCTCGATGAATCACATCGATTCGAACATTCTGACCCGTGCCGGCTGGCTTTATTGACCCGACTTCGGAGTACCTTTCCATAATTGATAATGCCTCCCACTCTATCGCGCCTCTGATCTCCCCAGACGATTGGTAATCGACTAAAAAAGTGGTCCGACTTTGGCGGGCAAATCAAAATTTCTACATCTCCGTCACGCACACAACAGCTGACCACTTATCGCTGTTAATGCGAATTTAAGCGCCGCACAGAGAACAGCAACAATAACAGAGGTTTACAGTAAATGCCGAAGCCAGATGAAGAAGGGTAAGTCGAAGTTAATATACACTTTCTGTACACATAATTTTTGTATGTATCATTCACAGAAAATCTAAATGTTTCCTGCTATTCTCAGATCTCTCTTCGATTTTAATAATTATCTATCAATTCAACGACATTATTATTATTATTACCAAATGTATAGAATTATTGAACAAATCGCTCGGTAACAGAGGCTTATCAAGAAGCTTTTCAAGGTCGGGGATCACAGCCCAAACAGCGAAAATTATCTATGGTACTCTCTGCAAGGGCATTCAAGCAGCGAACTTACTATCGCATCGTTCACAAGGGTTAACACTAACAGAGAGTGAGAGAGAGCAGAAAGAGAGCAGCGCTGCTAAAAGCTCTCTGCCGCCGTCGACGTCGCGTCGGCGGGCGTCATATAAAAGCCGGCGCTCACCTGATTCTCGCATTTCCGTTTGTCGCAGCAGCCGCGTTTTCTGTAAACCGCTATCCTACGTTTGAAATATAAAAAACAATCGTGTGTGGCAGAGTAATTTGCAAAAACTAATAGCTATCTAACGGTATAGAACGGAGAACGTTGAGTCGAAAGCAGCCTTAAAAATTCTGGATTTCGAGAGTTCATAACGTCGTGGACATAACGGTTTCCTCAGTCAGTCAGGACCAACTGTAAAGGAACACCCCACTTGTGCCCTCAACCAGCCGCTCGTTCCACTCCAGAAACCCGAAAAACAGCTGTCGAGAATCGCCTGATTTTTAGGTATGTACAAAAAATGGCAGCCGCAGGAATAAAACAGCCGCCCTTATCCATGTGCGTGTTGTCAGTGGCGATGTGTGTTTATTACATTTGTGTGTGCGAAGAAGAAAATGAAAACGAAATTTTCTGGACAAAAAAGTGAATTTATAAAGAAAAATCTATAGAAAAAAACTAAAAAGTGTACAAAAAATAGAGAAAAATGGTTAGATCAAGAGTTTGCAAGTGATCATTTAAATTCAGCTAAAAATACGAATTACTAAATTCCCACTTAGCTTGCAGTGCTTTAAGTTTGACCTTTAGGACCCTTGGGCCCGACCAGCCCCAAAGTGTTGCTTCAAACGCCCCTTGGAAGAGCATTTCCTGCACTGAGAAGGCAAATTATACGCTAATTGCGAAAGAGGGAAACCGAAATGGGGAAGGTCCAAATCAAATCCCAGTCTTCTAGCGTCTGGCCAAGGAGCACCCTCTATTAAGGGCTTCTCGATAAGGTTTCGCCGTCTAATTGTCAGTCAGAAGCAGCAAAAGTTTAATTTCTATGATTTCTTTCCGGGCAACCGAAAATTAAAAATGCAAGTGATGGACAGTTGGGAATAATTTAAATCTCAGTGTATTAAAGTTCAAAAAAGGATATTGTAAAAAGCTCTCTTCTTTGAAAAAAAAAAGTCCTTTTGAAATTTGTCCTAATTTATGAAGGCAATTCGACAAGCCAATGGGTTTTCAAAAAATAAATCCAACAAATTAGTGTTTGTCATTTCCTGGTTGCGTGTATAAATTTCATTATTTACAAACGACTAAACAACCATTAAGACATTAAGTCAAAAATTAAATTTTAAATTGCCTTTTAATATGAAAATAAGGCTATATAAAAGCCACAATTCCTTTAACCATGTCAACAAATGTTATAGATTTAGCTAGAAAATTATGTCTTAAGCAACCAGAATAAAAAAAAATATATATGGAAAAAAACTTTAACAACAAAAGGCAAAACTAATTTAACGATAAATTTCTTAAAATCTGCCTTGTTCCATCTAAAGAATGTTTAAATAGTTGAAAGTCTGATATCAGACCAGCGATCGCGATCGCTTTGCATAAAAACAACTCGCCCAGAAACCCATAAAAACAACACACTCCCAACCAAACAAACAAACGAACAACAATCGAGTGATTGGAAAATTTCGAGTGTCTGGCTAATCCTTATCGGCAAAACAGTGTCGCTTCCTGAAGTACACGCGTCCACTGGCGATCAAACATTTCCGATCCAGGTGCACAGTCGTAAGAGTAGGCAGTGCCTTATCAGCCTTATCAGGGCGTTTCGGAATCACCCCATGGCCCAGTTCAAGGCATTATCATCTTGTTCATGAACTTGAGGCGTCACCAGAGTTCGGATTGTATGGGGATGGGGGTGTTGGGAGGGCCCGAAGTGACGCGTACAAGAGTACTTTGGGCGCCAATCGATAACTGTGAAAATAGAACTGAGTGCATAAATAAACAGTGGAGAGTGCCCTATAGATGAGGGAGGGAGGGGTATTGTTTGTCCCTGTGTTTACCTATCGGATGACGCAACTTTCGCAATATGGCCTGATGATGGATTGGATCGATTTGGAGGCGGGCAGGGCTATCGATAAATCAATACCCTCCCCATGTAATTGCTTTAAAAGGATAGTTCAAACTGTCCGATTACATGTTAATCAGGAGGAAGATCGAGCGATCTGTAGGGAAGAGCCGGGCAACCGAAACTATGAAAATAATACTTCAATGAACTTGAGAAATCACGCCACCTTATCTCACTAAACAAATGGTACACGCGTCGAGCTCGTGTGTGTGTGTATGTACATTGTACAAACATATACACATGTATTTTGGTGGCTGGAGCTCTACGATGTGAGTCTATACGTCTGCCCTGCTGGTTGGCGTGCAAATTTCGCCTCTCTCTTTTGCTCCTACCTCAGTTTCGCCGATTCCGATTACAATAGCAAAACATAAACATAGAACCCAGACGCGACCGTCTTGCGAGCCAACGGCCTCTTGATAGATAGATAAGCTTGCTGAGTCTGCCGATTTTACCGGCAATTCATGGTTACACACGGAAGAATTCATTATACATCTAATGTGTTTTTTTTTAATCTGTGAAGATGTTTGTAATTTTTTTTCTAGTCGAGGTTTTTAACCGAGAGTATTAAATATTAAAAACAAAATTTAAACCTTTGCATACCATATACATTTTAGGCGTACCTATCTTACGCATTTTTCTCAGTGTATTGATTATTTCGGCTTTGTTGCTGACCGCTCTTGTTCTGGCTCTTCTTCTTCTAACGACGCTTTCGGGTTCCCTAAATTTCAGCATTAACCGACTTCGTCACTGCGCCGCCAACTCTGCTCATTTTTTCATTTCCCTTCTTTTGTTGAATCATTCGATTTCGCACATCGTACGAGTTTCTCGGCGAATAAGAAAGCAGCTTGCTTGTTGGCTTTGTATACGTACATGAGAGTGTAGCCTATGTTAACACAAATGGTGTTGCACTGTTAACTTTGCTGCCACAAGTTGCTGTTAACGGGGTTTCACTCCGCTGCTTCAAAGCAGAAAGCCGCCCATAACAAAAAATGCCGTGCGCCGGCATATGCGCGGTTAAAGCTCCGCCGGCACGGCATCACCTGATTTGCAATTTCTATACCAACTTTCCACCAGCTGAACATTTAAACAAAAAAACTAAGTTTACCCGGCATCCCGCTCCAGAGAGCGAAAGCTCTGCTAGTGTGGGTGGCAGTGAGCTTTTGGCTTATGTTAACTTAACAGCGGAGGCTGACAAATAAGTTTATAGAAGAAGTAAACAATAAGCAAATATAATATAAAATGTTTTTATTGCTTTTCCTATCTCCGCTCCCGGTGGTTGAGACTTTAAAATATTTAATATTATAAAATATATTTAACAAGCTTTTCCTGTCCACCTTTTACCTATTACAGCCCCTACAACTAAACCTGTTGCAAGCCGTGGACCAGCCGCATCCTGTTGCTTTTAAGCCCAACAATTGCAGCACCCATCAGCCCCATCATTCTCCCAGCACCCAAAACAACGGAAAGAGCGCTCGCGCCAACCGCCGTCGACGTCGCAGACGCAACAAGCAGCAGCAAAATTCGCAGCAACCTGACGCCTTTCAGGATCCAGACGCGCAGCTAACACCGAGCACCTCCTCGTCCACACCGCACTCTGCACCCAACGATAGACAGGAACACCTAACCTCCCACTTCAACTCAAACTCCAATTCCCATTTTCAACCCGACAAGATGCCCGCCCGATTCGCTGAGGAAGTAATCACCGCTGAACCTGCACAGCATGCCGCCCCCCAATTGGACCTGGGTGGTGGTCACTACGTGCCGCGCCAGCAACACCTCAACGATGAGATCGCCATCACCGGGTTCTCTGGTCGTCTGCCAGAGAGCTCTACGATCGAGGAATTCAAGCAGAACCTTTTCGATGGCGTTGACATGGTCAACGACGATCCCCGTCGCTGGGAGCGAGGTACGATTGAGTCCAAATTTTTTTTTTGATTTTCCAAGCCTGCGAATTCTATCAGATTTGGAACGCAGATAAAACGATGTACGATTAAAATTATATATAACTTTCTAAACAATAATTTTACTCACTTACAGGTCTTTATGGACTGCCCGACAGGATCGGAAAGATCAAGGAGAGCGATCTGGAGAACTTCGATCAGCAATTTTTCGGTGTGCACCAGAAGCAGGCAGAGTGTATGGACCCACTCCTGCGTATGCTGCTCGAGTTGACCCACGAGGCGATCATCGATGCTGGTTTAAACCCCAGTGATCTGCGCGGATCCCGTACCGGTGTGTACATCGGTGTGTCCAACTCGGAAACAGAGCAGCACTGGTGCAGCGATGCCGACCGAGTGAACGGCTATGGCTTGACGGGATGTGCCCGTGCTATGTTTGCCAATCGCATCTCGTTCACCTTCGATTTCAAGGGACCCAGTTACAGCATTGACACCGCTTGCTCCAGTTCTTTGTACGCCTTGGAACAAGCCTTCTCCGATATGCGTGAGGGTAAGGTCGACAACGCCCTGGTCGCCGGAGCTGGACTGATCTTAAAGCCCACCATGTCGCTGCAGTTCAAGCGCCTGAACATGTTGAGCCCGGATGGCAGCTGCAAGGCCTTTGATGAATCTGGCAACGGATACGTCCGGTCCGATGGTTGTGTGGTGCTGCTTCTGCAGCGTACTTCAGCCGCCAGGCGTGTGTATGCCTCCATTCTCAATGTGCGCACTAATACTGATGGTTTCAAGGAGCAGGGCATAACCTACCCCATTGGCAAGATGCAGAATCGCCTGATCCGCGAGACTTACGAGGAGATTGGCCTGAACCCTGCTGATGTGGTTTACGTAGAAGCCCACGGTACTGGTACCAAGGTGGGTGATCCCCAGGAGGTTAACTCCATAACGGACTTTTTCTGCAAGAACCGTACTAGCCCCCTGTTGATTGGCTCGGTCAAGTCTAACATGGGTCACTCGGAGCCCGCCTCCGGTGTCTGCTCAGTTGCCAAGATCTTGATTGCCATGGAGGAGGGCGTTATTCCCGGCAACTTACACTACAACAAGCCCAACCCAGATCTTTATGGACTTGTTGACGGTCGCCTTAAGGTCGTTGACAAGAACCTTCCCTGGAATGGTGGCATTATTGGCCTTAACTCCTTTGGTTTTGGTGGTGCCAATGCCCACGTTATCTTGAAGTCGAACCCGAAGCCCAAGGCACTTACTCCCAAGGATGGAGCACCAAAAGTGGTTCTCGCCTCTGGCCGCACCTTTGAGGCTGTGGAGCAGCTGCTGGAGTCGGCAGCCAACAATGCGGATGATGATGAGTACCTGCAACTGATCAACGATATCCACTCAAAGGCAATTCCTAACCACTTCTTCCGCGGTTACGGAGTGGTTAGCAGCAAGGGCACCCACCAGCGGGAGGTGATCGAGTCCACTGATGAGAAGCGCCCCGTTTGGTACATCTACTCCGGCATGGGTAGCCAGTGGGCCAGCATGGCCAAGGATCTTATGCAGATTGAGGCCTTCGCCAAGAGCATTCAGCGTTGCGCCGATGTTCTCAAGCCCGAAGGAGTGGACCTAATCGATGTCCTCACTCGTTCCACGGACAAGAGCTTCGAAAATATTCTGAACTCGTTCATCTCCATTGCTGCCATGCAGGTGGCTCTGACGGATCTGCTAAGCTCTCTGGGCATTCACCCCGATGGAATTGTAGGACATTCCGTGGGAGAGCTTGGATGTGCCTACGCCGATGGCTGCTTCACCCCGGAACAGACTGTGCTAGCAGCCTACTGGCGAGGAAAGAGCATTTTGGACACTCAGCTGGCCAAGGGCAAGATGGCCGCCGTGGGATTGAGCTGGGAGGACGCGCACGGCCGTGTGCCCAGCGATTGCTTCCCTGTGTGCCATAACAGCGTGGACAACTGCACCATTTCTGGCCCGGAGGCCTCTATCGAGGCTCTGGTCGCCAAACTGAATGCGGAGGGAGTCTTTGCTAAGGCAGTTAACTCCTCCGGATACGCTTTCCACAGCAAGTACATCGCTGAGGCTGGACCCAAGCTACGTAAGAGCCTTGAGAAAATTATTCCTAACGCTAAGAACCGCACCCCTCGCTGGATTAGTACCAGCATCCCGGAATCCGCCTGGAACACGCCCGTGGCAAAGCAGTCTTCGGCCGCGTACCATGTCAACAATCTGCTCTCGCCGGTACTCTTCCACGAGGCTCTCCAGCACGTCCCCAAGAACGCCATTTCTGTGGAAATTGCTCCCCATGGCTTGCTGCAAGCCATCCTCAAGCGCGCTCTGGGTCCTGATGCTACTAACCTAAGTTTGGTGAAGCGCGGCCACGAGAACAACGTGGAGTTCTTCCTAACCAATGTGGGCAAACTCTTTGCCGCAGGTGCACAACCACAGGTGCTGAATCTGGTGCGTCCCATTAGCTACCCTGTGGGTCGTGGAACCCCCATGTTGAACTCCAAGGTGGGATGGGACCATACCCAAAAGTGGCTGGTGGCCAAGTTCGGCAAGGAAACTTCTTCAGGAGAGACCATTGTAGAAGTTGATCTGTCTAAGGAGGATGATGCCTTCTTGGCTGGACACACCATCGACGGAAGGATCCTGTTCCCGGCCACCGGTTACATGACTCTTGCTTGGCAAACCTTCGCCAAGATGCGTGGCAGTGAGTTCCACAAGACCCCAGTGGTCATGGAGAACCTGGTGTTCCACCGCGCCACTATCCTGAACAAGAACGCAGTGGTGAAGTTCGGCATCAATTTCTTTGATGGCACAGGCGCCTTTGAGATATGTGAGAGCGGAAGTTTGGCGGTATCCGGAAAGATTACTATTCCCGAATCTATCGACAATGAGGAACTTCCTCTAGAGGCGCAGACTCCAAGCGCTGCCGCCAAGGAGCTAGTCACCAACGATGTGTACAAGGAGCTGCGTTTGCGCGGCTACGACTACGCTGGCATTTTCCGCGGCATTGTTCGCTCTGACACAGTGGCTTCCACTGGGCAGCTTCAATGGGTGGACAACTGGATCAGCTTCATGGACACTATGCTCCAGTTTAGTATCCTGAGCAAGAACCTCCGTGAGTTGTACCTGCCCACTCGCATTGAGCGAGCGGTGATTAATCCCGCTAAGCACTTAGAGTTGCTGAATGCCCTCACCAAGGAACAGCAGCTAGAGACAGGAATTCCTGTGCAATGGTACAGTGATATCAATGTCATCAAGAGTGGAGGCGTGGAATTGCGCGGGTTGAAAGCTAATCTCGCCCAGCGTCGTCCTGGCACACAGGCCCCTCCCACATTGGAGCGCTATCAGTTTGTGCCCAACAACAACACCACCGATCTGCATGAGAACTCTGAGAAGGCTCGTCTGCACGCTTTGGATGTGGCCATTCAAGTGATTATTGAGAACTCAAGCGGAGCTGTCAAGCTAAAGGGTGTAGAGTTGGCCAATGGACGCAACCCAGATGTGCTGGTTGCTAATCGTCTTCTGCAGATTATCGAGGGTGAACCTGTGCTTACTGGTGATGTTGCTGTGGTCACTTCAAACAACAATGAGGAGACCATTACCGCCGCTCTCGGCGATTCTGGTGTACGCGTGGTGTCCAAGGACGTGTTGAAGGAACCGGTAGAGCAGAACTGTCATTTTGTCTTTGGCATTGATGTTCTTTCCCGCCCGGACACCAAAACCTTAGAAAACTCCATTGCCAGCATCCGTGAGAATGGCTTCTTGATCCTTGAGGAGACGCTGGCCACGTATACCAAAACTGGTCGTGCTCTGTTGACCAAGTTCGGTTTCGTTGCCGTTCAGGAACAGAGTCTGGGAGCAACCCGTGTCCTGGTTCTTGCCCGAAAGGCTGTGGATCTGAAGACCCGTAAGTCTGTAGTGGTTGTAGCCACGGAACAGAACTTTAACTGGGTGGATGATTTAAAGACCGCTCTGGCTACTGCTACCACAGAGGAACAGTATGTATACGTGGTTTGTCAAGGAGAGGAACTTTTTGGTGCAGTGGGTCTGATGACCTGTATCAAGAACGAAAATGGAGGCAAACTGGCCCGCCTGGTGTTCGTCCAAGATGCCAAGGCTGAAAAGTTCTCCCTTACCTCGGCACTTTACCGACAGCAGTTGGAGAAGGACCTCATCTCGAACGTACTGAAGAACGGTGCCTGGGGCACTTTCCGTCACCTTAAATTGGAGACCCAGCAGGCTACACTTCAAGTGGAACACGCTTATGTCAACGCCTTGGTCAAGGGTGATCTGGCTTCGCTCAAGTGGATCGAGGCTGCCCAGGCTGATACCGCTGCAACTGGTGACAAAAATCTGGAAACTTGCACGGTTTACTATGCTCCCATTAACTTCCGTGATGTCATGTTGACCTCAGGCAAACTGGCTGCCGATGCTTTGCCCGGAGATTTGGCTGAGCAGGATTGTGTGCTGGGCTTGGAGTTTGCTGGTCGCGACTCTCAGGGCCGTCGTGTAATGGCCATGGTGCCGGCCAAATCCCTGGCTACCACCTGTGTGGCCAGCAAACGCATGATGTGGCAGATTCCCGAGAAGTGGACCATGGAAGAGGCCTCTACCGTTCCATGTGTGTACTCTACCGTTTACTACGCTTTGGTTGTTCGAGGACAGATGAAGAAGGGTGAGAAGATACTTATTCATGCTGGTTCTGGAGGAGTTGGTCAGGCGGCGATCTCTGTGGCTCTTGCTCATGGATTGACCGTATTCACCACTGTGGGCAGCAAGGAGAAGCGCGAGTTCCTGCTGAAACGATTCCCTAAGCTGCAAGAACGCAATATTGGCAACTCCCGAGACACCTCCTTTGAGCAGCTGGTACTGCGTGAGACCAAGGGACGCGGTGTGGACCTCGTACTTAACTCGCTCTCCGAGGAGAAACTGCAGGCTTCGATCCGCTGTTTGGGTCTTAATGGTCGCTTCCTGGAAATCGGAAAATTCGATTTGAGCAATAACAGTCCACTCGGAATGTCCGTGTTCCTCAAGAACACCTCTTTCCATGGTATCCTGCTCGACAGTGTAATGGAAGGCGAGGAGGAAATGCAAAACCAGGTTGTGTCCCTGGTGGCGGAGGGCATCAAGACCGGAGCCGTGGTACCCCTTCCCACTTCTGTGTTTAACGACCAACAGGTGGAGCAAGCCTTCCGTTTCATGGCCTCTGGCAAGCACATTGGCAAGGTCGTGATCAAGGTGCGTGAGGAGGAGGCGGGCAAAAAGGCGCTGCAGCCAAAGGCGCGCTTGATAAACGCAATTCCGCGCACCTACATGCACCCGGAGAAGAGCTACATTCTGGTCGGAGGCCTTGGAGGTTTCGGCCTGGAACTAACCAACTGGTTGGTGACGCGAGGAGCACGCTACATTGTGCTCACCTCCCGTTCGGGAGTTAAGACCGGTTATCAAGGACTGATGATCCGTCGCTGGCAGGAACGTGGCGTCAAGGTGGTGATCGATACAAGTGATGTGACCACCGCCGCTGGAGCAAAGAAGCTGCTGGAGAACAGTAACAAACTGGCTTTGGTGGGAGGCGTCTTTAACCTGGCAGCTGTCCTTCGAGATGCTTTAATAGAGGATCAGACCGCTAAGGACTTCAAAACAGTGGCGGATCCCAAGGTTACTGCCACCAAGTACCTGGATCAATACTCTCGAACCATCTGCACAGAGCTGGACTACTTCATCTGCTTCTCTAGTGTTTCCTGCGGTCGTGGCAACATTGGTCAGACCAACTATGGATTGGCTAACTCTGCGATGGAGCGAATTTGCGAGCAGCGACAGATTAGCGGATTCCCGGGTACCGCCATCCAATGGGGCGCCATCGGAGACACCGGTTTGGTTCTTGAAAACTTAGGTGACAACGATACTGTTATTGGAGGAACCCTCCCCCAGAGAATGCCCTCGTGCCTACAAACCATTGACCTGTTCTTGCAGCAGCCCCATCCCGTGGTCGCCTCCATGGTGGTGGCCGAGAAACGCAAGTCGGATCAGTCTGCTGGAGTCAGCCTGATCGCCACCATCGCCAACATCCTTGGTCTAAGGGATACTAAGAATATCCAAGACGGAGCTTCGCTTGCTGATCTTGGAATGGACTCGCTGATGAGCGCAGAGATTAAGCAGACATTGGAGCGAAACTTCGATATTGTTTTATCCGCCCAGGAAATACGCCAGCTCACATTTGGAGCCCTCAAGGCTATGGATGGTGGAGCTGAAGCCAAACCAGTCGCAGCTGCTCCCGCCGGCGCAGCTGGAGCCACAGAGGTAAACATCTCCTCTGGTGGATCCTCGCGCACGGCCAGTCCGATGGGTGATGGCACCCAGGTGGTGTTTACCACGTCTCTCATTCCCACCGATGCAATTTTACCACTGGAGACAAAGGCACCGGCGAATAGCAAACAGACCCCCATCTTCTTCATTTCCCCCATCGAGGGCTTCGCCTCTGCCTTGGAGCCGCTGGCCAAGCGATTGGAAGTGCCCGCCTATGGACTGCAGTTCACAGAAGCCGTGCCCTATGATTCCCTGGAATCAGCGGCAAAGTTCTTTATTAATCAACTGCGCACCGTCCAGCCAAAGGGTCCGTACAAGCTCGCCGGATACTCCTTCGGCTGCCTGCTCACGTACGTGATGGCCGGTATTCTGGAGGAAACCAACGAGGTTGCCAACGTGATAATGTTGGACGGAGCCCCGACCTACGTCAACTGGTACACGAGCAGCTTCAAGAAACGTTACACGGACGGCAGCAACGCTGATAACGACAACCAGAGCTACGGTTTGGCCTACTTTGGAATCGTTCTGGCCAACATTGATTACAAAGCGGTAAGTGTGCAGGATTTTATAAATAATAGGCAACATTTGGAATATTTTTAATGAAATAGTCGTCTTAGTTGTAACTTAAAATCTAATATTCCGTATTATTTTATTGCAGCTGGTGCGACTGCTACTAGTGATCCCCACATGGGAAGAGAAACTCGAGAGATTTGCTGAGTTGATGAGCAATGAGATCACCCAGCCTGCTGAAACGGTAAGAGCGTCAAAACTTATATACAGATAGGATACCTTTTACTAAACGGTTTCGTTATGCCAACTTACAGATCAAGAAAGCCGCCACTCTGTTCTACAAGAAACTGGTGCTGGCCGATGGATACGTGCCCACATTGAAGCTTAAGACGAACGTAACCTTGGTCAAACCTACAGATAACTCTGCCAAGCTGGACGAGGACTATCGCCTGAAAGAGGTTTGTTGCCAACACATAAAATATTACTATCACATACTAATGATTCTGTTTTATTCGTAGGTCTGCACAAAGCCCGTTGAAGTTCACACTGTGGAGGGCAACCATCGCACCTTCCTAATCGAGGATCAGTCCTTGAAAACCATCCAGAGCATACTGAAGCGTCTGTTTAACTAGGAAGCGGTTAGCATAGGAGTTGTGGATGTGGCATAGCACAACTATTTACACGATCATCACCCTCTCACCATCATCCAATACTCGGGTTCTATGCACCACGTGGAGCCACGGAACACATCGACACCTAGTTAGCATACTTAGTGAATGAATTTACGTTGTTAAGCTGCAAGGAATCGCTCGTCCCATCCCAGTTACGCACAGCTAAAAGAGATAACTCAACAGGTCGGATTGGAGCGGATCGGATTGAATCTGATTAACTGCTGTCTTGCAGCGCTGTAGACTGTGGTCCAAAATTTAGTCTATAGTCGCTGCGATTCTGGGCAGTTGTAAGGATAAAAAGATGAGAGGCCCAAACCATCACACTTAACGCTTTGTGCACCATACAGATTAGTCCCGACATTCCTTGAGAGCTAGACGGCACTAGACGTCCCAACTTACCAAATATATCTTTTATGCTCTATCTATAATGTATGTCGCTATTCTAGTTTTATTGCCTAGTTGTAAGCCTACAGTTTGTAGTCGCGCATGTAATGAATTTCATTCCTCGAACTAATCCAAGAAAAGAAACTACAAAACTTGTTATCTCTCTTGATGTATAAAATAATCGCCCAAAATGATCACTCATGAATAATGTGGATATTAAAATTACACCATACTAAAAAATAATACAAAAATCGGTTTTATTTTATACTATTGATGAGGATTCGAAATGGTGTGCACATTTTCATTATCTGTTATTCCCAATAACTTAAAAAAAGAAACAGCTCATTCATTTTTGAAACAATTACTTATTTATTTAAGGGTTTTTGAAATCATTTAGCAAAAAATATTTATAGGGATTTTTTAACTGTACCATTCCACTTATTTTCTGTTGCAACTCATTTGCTGATGATTTTTGCACCATCTCTTATAGAATATTTATCTTGATGAGTGCCGGGACTTTTTTTCTCACACAATAAAAATAACATACTTAAAAGATAATGACAATGCTGCGTGTTACAAAGTTAGCGTATCCTGAACCTATACATATAAAACTCGCATATTTCGGACACAATTCAATGATAACAAAATAAAAACGTAACGTAAACTAATGTAGTTAGGCTAAAACTAATTTACAACTCATTTAGTACAAACTAATTTATTGAAATTTTTGAATTTTTTTTGACGCTTTTACAAGGCATTAAAGACTAAATAATAAATACACGTATATAAAACACATAATTAAAGCTTAGCTCGTTCGGCGATGCAGCTTCATACCTCTGATATTCTAATTGGTACATTATAATATATATATATATAGACGTGGCAGGGGACGGATACCTCCCCGTACCACAAATAGCGGGCATTAAGTTTTGAATTAAGGACATCGAGTGAGTGGTTTGTATTGTTGTTTGAGCTCAAGGGAGGTAAGTATCTGGATTAGATCGAGTAACATGTACGATATCAGCGATTGCGAGTTGCGGTTAGAATACAATATAAATATCGCTAATCATACAAATACTTATAGTGTGTGTTATAGTAATATGTTGGTTTTATGCAAATATTCATACTGCTTCATCTACGTATTTATATGCTACTCATTACTTTTTTCTGTTTTATGTTTAGTTTGAAACTGTTTTAAATACGTAGCTTTATACGCTCTAAACTTTGTTTAGCTTTGTGTGTGGCTGCGATCCTCCTCTTGCGCCAGTTTAAAAAACGTACTTTCTCTATTATTTTTTTCAATTCCCCCAAAGTTGCTGTGACGGCTCCGCTTGCTGTGCTCCACTAAATTTTAGATTATTACATGTATATCATGAGCGCCTTCTATGAGCTACCATACTGCTAAATGCAAATATTTACACAAACATTTTCAGTTAAGAACGTACGAATTATCATTATATATTTAGTAAATCTTCATCATCTTTGCACAGGTCCATACATGTGAAAACGCCAAGCTATGCTTCCGACTATGACTTTGATCTGCGTCGCAAGTGCCGACTTCTAATTCCTTATTATTTTGTTTTACAAATTGGTTTTAGCGCTTTAGAAGCTATCATCGCTGTCGCTGTGCTCTGGTTGCTCCTCGCCAACGATCAACTCATCCTGATCCTCCTCAATGTCCTCGCTCTCGTAAGCCTCTTCGGCTGCCTCGGCGATCTGGTCGATCTGCTCCTCGTAGGCAGCATGTCATGCCAGTCCGTTGGCATCGGCGGCGTCCTCCGACCAACTGACTTCCATGGGCGTGCAGGGCAGCGCTTCTTCGATGGACATGCGGGATGGTGGTTGCTTCGGTCTCTTGGACAAAGATCCACCCGAAGCGGTGCTGGAGGCAGAGGAGCTGCGCATCATGTCCTCGGATGAAGCTGAGCAGCTCTCGTCCTCAGAGTTGGCACCGGAAACCATAGCCTCTCCAGCTGACTCCTGGATTTCATGAAACTTCTTGGCCTCGCTGGACATAAGCTTCATGGTGGAACTGCGCGGACGCATCTCTCCAACTGGCGCTTGTGGTGAACTGGAGCACAGGGGAATGTCCTGGGACCAGTCGGCCAGGGCCAACTCGTCCTGCTGCCTCTGTCTTTGAGACTCGCAAACTGCTGAGGTGGAGGCCGATGCTTTGATGCACATCGAATGGGAACGAGTCCGGGATAAAGGACGACCCTCTGGCTCACCGGAATTACTACTACTCCTAAGCAGGGCAGTAGCCGACATGCTCTGGCTAAGGGGATTAGGATGAGCGTGGGCAGAGCCTCCATTTGTGGTCAATCCGTTGGAATGACCATTGCTTCCCAAAGTCTGTCGTCGCTGGATGGGGCAACGCTCATTGCTGCTTCGCAGGGAACCCGCTCGGCGCACAATCTTTGATGTATTACCCTTGAAAGACTCATCGTCTATTTCCAACGTCCAGCTGACTGAATCATTCCGTTCAATCATTCCCTTCATTACCGGGGAAGTGGGTGAGGAGGTGGTCACGGAAATCTCCAAGCCACTGCGAACCAGGCTGTTTTCATGGGATAACGAGGAACGATCTAGCAACTTCGCCTCAGCAGCTTGAAGTTGCACGGATCTCTGCTTAAGGTGGTACTGCAGCTCCTCCTTGTCGTAGGTAAGTCGCGTGCGCTTGATGTTTTCGTACTTGTAGGCCTTCTGAAGTTCCTCCATCTTCAGCTGTATGTCCCTGAAAAGAGTAATTTCAGATTAGTTTTGGTTCAATTTAAGAAGAGGGAATTTTTTTTACAGATTTGGGGGTAAGGAAATCGCTACTTACTTCTCCCTTTCGGTCTTGGCTTCCAATTCGGTGCGCAGCATCTCGTTCTGGGCTTCTAGTAGGGCCACGCGGTTGGCCAGCTTAAGGCGCTCCTCGCTCTCAAGGATGAGATCCGCTTTGGCCTTACTGAGGGAGGAGATCTCAGCCTGTTTGAGCTCCAGAACGCAACGTAAACTTTCAGCCTCGCTGGTCAACCGGCTGAGTTCGGCGGAGGCAGTGTCCGGTAGACTGATGCAAGGACTCCGACGCTGTGAGGATGTGCGTAGCACGGAGATCTCGTCCTGCGACAGCGCCAGTCGATCCCTAAGATCGCGCTCGTTGTGTTCCTTGTTGGCCTTGAGAGTACTTAGCTCCTTGATGAGGCTCTTTACTTGACCGGTCAGCTCCTGCTCGCGGTTAATGGCCTCGGATAGACGGGCGGCGTGGGTGCTTTCCTTGCGAATTTGCTTCTCGCGGTTCTCCTGTTCCTGAGCCTCAAGTTTTTGCAGGCGATCCTGCAGCTCTTGAATCTTCTGTTCGGCCGCGTTCAGATGCTCCTGCTTCAGGTTGAGTTTATGGGATACCTCCAGGTGGTAGGCCTGCTGCGCCTGTTTGCTCTCCTCATCCTTGGCCAGCAGTTGGGACTCTAGTTCGCAGAACCTTTCCTTGGCAAGCATTTGCACCTTGATTGCCTTCTCCTCAGCTGCAAAATAAAATGCAATTTGTTAGCTAATGCTCGTCCGATGTTATCTAAGATGATGATATCAATGGGCAATCCAAACAGAATACCAACCTTGCTTCAGTTCAGTACGATGCAGATGATCCAGTTCCTGCTGCCGCTGCGCCCACTCCACGTCCTTGGCATGTAGATCCTCACGAAGGTGATCGCAATCCTTTTGTGCCTGCTGCAGCAGCGCAATCGTCTCCTCCAGCGTTCCCTTGGTCAGGGCGTATTGCTCTTTGGTCTCCTTGCAGGCAAATGCATCCAGCTGTAATCCCGAAAAGAAACAAACATTCAGGGTTAAAGTCGCTATAAATCCATCTATAAAATCCGCATCGAAGCAGGTAGCCTCTTTGGGTAATTAAAATGAAATTTCCCTCTCGATTTCAAGAGTTTTGCACGGAAGTCGTACAAAGGCAAATTGTTGAGTGCAATGTCGCGGAAACAATGTCTCTGTAAGCCAGGGAATTTCCACTGGCAGACAATGGCTCGAGGGTCTCGTTCGAGAGGTTCGTAACATGGCCAAAGGTCGTTGTTGGAAAAGTCTCGAACAATAAATTTGTACAACTCCTGAAGTACATATCAGAATTTTCTTAGATTCACTCAGATTCATACCTGTTGCTGTTCGAAGCCCTGGGAGAAGTTGAAGTTATCCATAAACTTGGTTGGAGTGCTGGGCACCGTCCAACTGATTAGATCGATGTCCAGGTCCATGGTCTGGGCCGACAGATTCTCGTTGGTGAACACGAAATTCTCAAACATTTTGCTAACGTCTTTTAAGCACAGAGCTGTGTGTTGAACACGAATACTTGAAGTACACTGATGGCAATTTCGGCCATCCATCTGCTTTTATACTTGCCCAGCACCGGCAGGTAGGAAGAGAGCAGAGAAATGGACAGCGGAGGAGGACTTCCACAGGTAGCAAGGGATCAAAGCGAAACTCTCCGGATATGGCGAGAAAATGTTTACTACGGATTTCAGGCAGACGGAGCAAGTAAAAATACGTTTCTAAAAACATGCTGGGAAAAAGGGTGAAGAAGGGTTCGGGATTGTTGCTCCCGCGCAAGGAGAAAAAACTAAACCATGCAATGTGGGTGTAGCCCTTTGGTGGGCCACGCCCTGGCTAGCGAAAGATTTCCAGGCCGGATCCACCCAGCGGCTTAAGCGATCGCTGGCCAACTTCATGTGGTTTGGGATCAACCCTTCGGAGCATTGGTCACGCGCGTCCGCCAGCTGAAGCCGGAGGGAAAACAATTTTTCGTTTTTGGGGCGGCCTGAAGGCACTTCAATTCCGTCGTAATGGCGCGCACCTTCTCTGCAACACTTTGGGTGGATGCGTATCGAAGTGCCAGAGCGCCTTAAAAGGATCTCGAAAGAGGCTAGCGAAACGTGATCTCAAGAGGTTGTCCCAAATTTGATCTGGCTATTACAAATTGCCATTTGCATAGGAGATTAGTTCATACTTGAACTAACAAATTAGCTAAAAAAAATAGATAGAAGTAGTCACAGTTCAAATAGAGTTTCTCCCATATTGTTGAGGCAATCATCATCACAAAGGTTAATGCCTTCCAAACTAATATTTAACTGGTTTTAAATTGTCCCGATCGATTGCAGCAGCCGACAGTCGCCTTACCAAATGCAATCCCCAAATTAAGAGTGGCCGACCATCGGATGAATGGCAATTGCAAATGGCCTGATCCACGCCTGCTGTCGCCGCTCTTGTCCAGCAAATTAATAGCCATCATGTCGCTGTCTCCGGCGAAGTCTCTGTCTCAGCCAGTGACAATCTCGAAGTCTCGATGGGCGACGTTTCTGGATGACAGTCAAATCAGGCAGTGGATGACGAGTCGGCGACAGAGGCATTTACCTGACAAGGACGAGTTCGCAATTAAAGTGTTGAAATTAGTGACTTGCCGCCGTGAAAGTGGCTCGACTGGATTTAATCCTTTTGCCAGCAATCGAGGCAATCTCATGTTGCGCACTTTGTAATTTATGGATTTAAAGCAACGGCGATTGTCCTTCGCGTTTAATAGCGCACTGTAAAAACCTAATAAAAATGGACACGAGCCTGCCTGTCCTTGTCCCTACCTTGCCGGTTGCTCTTCCTCGGTTTTCACACCAAATTGTGAAATCTCGCTGGATCATATCTAAATAAATATTTATGTTGCAACATCAGTTTAGGCTTTTAGTGGGAAAACATTGCGCGATTGCCTCGTTCCTCGAATTTTCCGCCCAGGCAAACAAATCCTCAGTCCTCCGCATGTTTGCATTTGCGGCCTAACGGGTAGCCGCGTCCAGCAAGTTAGCCAAATATTGTGGCATGCTCTCTCCCGTAATTCCCCCTAATAACACTGGGCTTGTTTTTTCGAAACGTGTCTTAAACAAATACCAAAACCCTGGACAAATATGCAAATTGCATGCGAACATGTGCAAGCGCCAATAGTTCTGTGGAAAAGGCTTAAGTAATTTATTCTTTTCCCCTGTGTTTGTTTTTTATAATTAAGAAAGAAAAATAATCAAAGGGCTTTGGGAAAACCAACAGACATTTGATTTGATTCTTAAACACGATGCAAGGAACATCCTTTGCACTTTTTTACCACCTTTAGGTAATCCCCAGTTGGAGAATTAAACGATTTGAGTTCTTTCTTTCCTGCTTTGCAACTTCCTGCAAATTCCCCCAGCTCAGGCTGCAGAAATTCCGACAACAGCTTAAGGGATTCCGGAATTTTTCTCCACATTAATGACTTTCCTTTCAAAAAAAAAAAAAAAGGAGGACAGAAGGGAATTCTTCGCAAATGGCCAACGCAAATGACATCAATACAATGGCACCAGCTGATGGCACATGGAATTATCGTTTCATCTGGGTGCCGAGTAGAGTATTGTGTCACTTTCAGCTTGCATAAGACCGGGCTAAATCAGTTGATTTTTCAGCAGCCTCCTGGTCCTGGCAATTGTTTCCATTATCCTGCCAGCATTGTGCATGTGTTTTGGCCCGAAGACAATGGATTTACGCAATTGTCGACATTTTGGGTGACATGCCAAGGCTTGGGGAAATATCTGCACAAACTGCTGTGTCCCGACAAGTTCAGACAAATCGGAGTCTGGCAAATTCTACCTAAGGCAATTGTGGTTGAGAAGTCAGCAGACAAACATCATCATAAATCGATTTATGATGTACCTAGATGATGTCTGGGAAGGCTCTTCGATATATGCAAATGTTAAAATAATGTCCTCCGCGTTTGTCGCGGATTTTTATTGCCTTGTTATTGTCATTTAAGTGAGTTCCGCCTGCCTGATAGCAGGTACCATAAAAGTATACCTTAACAAAAAAGACTTCTCCCGTTTTCCGCATCCTTTAGCACACTTTTCAAGCTGAGAACTCGCCAAAACTCACACGTGTGCCCGCGAGAATACCCTTTTTGTTCCAACCGAATCCTTTACACCGAAAATGGCAAACAATTAATTGAATGGCTGAGCTGGTCCGCGGACCAACTTGAATGTGCCATCGCCTCACACCCTTTCATTTTTCACCGGAGAAAGGCTTTCGCACAAAGGCTGCGGAACAGTAAAGAGCAGGGAACGGGGTTTGGTCTAGGGCTGGCGATTTTTCCAAACTTTTGTTCGGCATTTTCGGTGCAGTTTTTAATTAGTGCAAACACAAAAAGTGCACCCAAAGTCCGGGCTCGGTTTTCAGGGGCTCGGCTTAGCCGGCACTGACACAATTAAACAAAATTAGCTCAACTTTAAGCATAGATTAAGGCAAATTTCTAAAATTTCTCAAACAATGCCGGCTGCATGTGCGCATGGGAAACACAATTCGGGAATTATTAGAGCAGGTGATCCCGCTCCGAGGCGATCCCGCACATGTCCCTGGCATTCACATTCACAAAGGGATGGTGTATCTGTCCGAGTTGCCATTCGATTTGCCCTCAAAGGGCTGCGCTGGTACAAATCCCTGGCGCCTATTTACCCGGCAAATCCCTCTCACTGATCCCTATCTATATATTCACTACTCGCTACTTCGGAACTCACCTCTTGGGACATGAACTGGACCATCACGGCGAGTCCCAGGATCTTGCGTTGCTCATTCCTGCGCTCGAACTGGTTGTTCTGGAAGAACTTGGCCAGCCGGCTGCAGTCCAGCTCTCCGGTCTCCGCAAACGGCTTCAGGGCGGGATACTGATCGGCAATGGCGGCGCGGGGCTTGGCCAGCAGCGTCATCGAGCTGATCGACGTGTCAACTTCATTGGGCAAAGGCAGGGAGCTCGGCTGTTTATCAATAACATGGAAATTATTCTATTTATTACTTAGTTTCTTAGAACGGTAAAGAAAGAGAAAAAGAAAGCTTACCTCGACCTGCGGCTCCTGTGGCTTTATCAGTGGAAGGGGGGACGACTCCGACTGGGGTCCGTGCGCCTCCTGCTGGGGAATAATACCGTTCTGGAGCTCACACTTCTTGAGCTTGGCCTCCGTCTCACATGGCAACTCACTGCCGATGGACGAGCGCTTCGAGTCCCGCGCCATCGGCGGGGTTGGACATCCGCTCGCGGTTTGCCCATTAATCAGCTCCTGGAGTTCAGTTTGATCCACGCCAGAACGAAGAGATTCTGTAAGGATAAAAAATAATGATAATCAGAAATAATCAAACTCAAGTACCGAGCGAGAAATCGAAAGTGCAATTTATTATCAAATTGTAACCCAAAAGAAATCCCTTGGCTTACGTAACCCTCGACTGGCGAAAGTCTTGCTCATCAGCAGCAGCAGATGAAAATCTAGCTGTCGTTGGAGATGAACTAACGATGATGATGAGCTAACCGTGATTCACCCAGCAGTGGATCCACTTGCCTCCCGGACAAAAAATTACATGAGTAATTGCTGCTTCGTGCCGCAAAGAAGATGTGGCCAAGAAAAAACCGCAATAGCAGTAGATTTTCTTTTTGCATAATTCCATTGGCAAAAGGGAAAGCAGTCCGCACTCGATATATATAATATATATGAAGGTGTAAGTCGGGCCACGCCCCTCGTCACCAGCTAATATAACGCCGTGGGTTAGAGGCGGGCCATCATCATCAATTACCGGATCGCTTCTCTCTTCGGGGGGCTGTCAATTAGAGAGGATGCGTGGCCAATTTTTTAGCCAACAAATTGGCCTTGACAAGCCTTAATACTGTAGTGGGAAAGGTAACTTTTGATGTATGGAGGGGAGGGAGTTCAGTAACCGCCGCTACGATCGATCAGACAGCCAGCCAGCCAGCCCGTGTGGTTGCCCATAACTCTGCTCGATTTCCTTACAAGCCACGCGCCACGATTGCCCGATTCCAAATCGAAGCTGTGGCCAAACCCAGAGTCTGGTGCTCATACATACATATCCGATGTGTGTCCATAATCAACGGTTGACGGTTTTATGTTACCGCATAAATTTATGGCCAAAGCCCCGCATACAAAGTTGTCAATGTTTGCACAAGTTTGCTGGCGGCGAAACCATTGAGCGGAGTTTGTAAGTCGAGGAGTCGCCTTCCGGAGTTGTCATCAAGATCATTACCCCGGGTTATTTGCTTAAGTAAAGAAAGTGAATTATCTAGTCATGGGGACATGATAAAGATTGGTACTAATATAGTAATATCTGCTCTTCCTCCTCTATCAAGGCGATCTCGCTGTTTCAGGAAACTAACCAATGCTGTAAATGAATTAACAAATTGGTCGAAGACAGCCGTTGCAAAGTGGCTAAAACGTAAACGTTCGCTTTTGACCGCTTTGAATGATTTTGCAATGTTTACGAATGAGCAGACCACTGAAAATGTAAGCTAACGAAACCAGATTCGCATGAAATTATCGACGTTTTAGCAAATCAAAGCATAAATTATAGCAAAACTTGTGGCTTTCATCATTTCGATTGACATTTTTGATAAAACCAAATAAGGTATATAGTACATATAGCATAAAGTAGACATTTCTTTGGCCTTTCCCCATTGCAGCGTGTTCCTAGAACATATTTAATAATTATTAATGAGGGAGCTTCAGCCTCACCTGATGGCAATCCTCCGCCTCGACTTGGAAATATCTCAATGACACACGCGACTCGAACAAGTCTGGCACACGACGTTCGAGAGAAGACAAAGTGCCGGGGACATTTCTCATGGCAATTAGGCGATTAAGCGACATTAGCTACGACCAATTAATTGCAAGGCCGAGCAAATTGGCCAGTTCACAGTCCTGTCGCGGATTTTCCCCCGATTTCAGCAAAGAATTTTCTCACGGCCCTGTCTTTTGTCCCTGGCAAATCGCAACAAGTTGTCGACAGATCTCCCTTGGCTAGCAGGACCCCTTATGGCGTTGGGTCAATTTTATGGCTGAGAAACCGACCACCTCAGTAGTTATATGGCCGGGATCTATGCTTTCCCGTTCCCGATCCCATTTCCCAGCCCAAGCTGCACTTTGATTTTTATGAGTCTCGGAAAAACTCAGCAGCGGGTGATTTCATTCAGAAAATGTTGGTCCTGTCAGGTTTTTTCTCTCTTTCGCTGTGGGCACGTGGATTTTCCCAGGCACAGTTTTCACAATTTATTGGTATATATATTTAAATAGGTTTGTATTACATCTGTGTTCTTTCTAGATGAGAAGGGGTATAAGGACAATTTCAGACAAACTCCCAATTCTTGCTATTCCATAGCGAAGCCAAAAATGTTAGGAATTTGGAGTGTCATATCTCGTTGAGATTGTTGTTGAGTTTCCAACAAAACTGCATTCTTAAGCTTTCAATCTAACTACCCAAAGTATCCCCTTCTGCTACCTTACCAAAAAACACGTCACTTTGAAAAATGTTAATTTAAACTAACCAAATTAAATACAAAGTAAAAGAAAGTGCTTGCTAGTTTCGCTGGCTGCTTTATTTGCACCTTGTGCAGCATTCAACATACTCATCCACCTGGTGGAAAACTCTCCCCCATACAAGATCAATCAACATCAACGCACAAAGATCTGGTGTCAGTGTCCAGGGTTCGCATTCGGTCAGCCGAGCTCATAATGACGGTTTGGGTTGGGATTTCAGTTTGGGTTTCAGTTCGCCAAAACCCGACATGTGTCGAGGCGATGGCGATGGCGATGGCAATGTGAATGTGAATGCGACTGCGAATGTGATGCTGTGCACAGTGGGCTCAGTGTGACACTGAGCGGACGGACTGTGGACTGTGGGACGGAGTTACCTGCACTGGGCGATGGAAAATAGTTGAAATTCCGAAATATCTTATTTGGCATTAGGCAGCTGCTGTGTTGCTCTCGCCTTGTTTGCGGATTTCGGATTTTGGAAAACTCAACTCAGGCAGCAACCTGTCTTAACCCATGGCGACCCACAAAAACATGTCCAATGAAAATGCGCGTAATTAAAACGAACAACAGCCAGTCGAAACTGGCAAGCTGGCATTTCAATTAGCTGCGTTTAGGAGAAGCGAAAAAAAACCCCAAAATCACTTTACTTCACTTGACTCGTATCGCCTTGCCTCGCCTCGACTGGAAAATGAAGCTTTGTATCTGCTTTATGTTTTTTTTCATTTCCAGATACAGGGGAAAGGGTTTCCATGGGGTTGGAAGGGAAATAGACATTGCTTTAATTGCAATTTAACAGCAAACTGTTTTAACAGCGAGACAGAAGCACTTTCAGTGGGCGAGAGTCAAGTGCCTGCCAGCTAGTTTGTGCGAATTACTCGACATATTTATGCTAAATGTGTTATTAAAAGTATTTCAAGTATGCATGGGGATCAATTTTGAAAAAGGATGGAACATTCCAACGGCTAAAAGCTTTTATTGGTAATTTGTAAGAATTTATGAAAGGAAATTAGTGATGGAAAGATGGCCAAGCCCATTCAGAGTTATCTCCCATCAGTTTCTCCAACATCACTGATAGAAACCTCTTGCTGCTGCAAAGTTCTCCTTTTTTTAAGTATCATTTGTCACTTTAATTAGCTTTTATGTACGCCTTACAAGCCGGAAGAGGCACCAACATGCGTAACCAAAATGAACACTTCCTCTAAATGAAATTGAAAACAGATGAGCGGGCCATTCAATGCGTTTTCCACAGGCCCTTAATGACACCAACTGTAAACAATATTTGCACTAAATTATGCTTTGTGGCAGCATGGCAATCGATTTGTTTGGTTAAAAAACAACAAGACCGGCAGCTGGGTGGCTATAAACAACTCTCCATAAACAGTGGCTAGGAACTAGGGGGCAGTAATAAGGCCAGCGGAAGAACTCATCAGGCCATTCGCACAACGGATCTGGATATATGTTCGTAGATGTTCGTTCGATCTCTGCAGAATGTCAATCAGAAGAGACTAAAGAGGACTCCATGATGAGCACAGATCGCTTCGGCGGTGATGAAAGACACATCTCAAGGGATTTATGGCACATCAGGGCGGAGATTTTTATTCCAACCATTACGGTTGCTTATTGTTCTTAATTCCCAATTTGTAGTTCAGGCGTCTTGGGCAAACGCACAACGTAGAAGGCCCAACGCAAATTTCAAGGTCGTTGAGTCGTCGCTTGGCGCATTTCCATTTATTTTCCCTATCTATTCTCTCTTCAGCCGCTAAATAAGCCTTTAAAACACTTTTCGTTTTTGGCTCAAGTTCTAATGCTTATTTTTAGATAAGTTGAGCATGAAAACATTGTGTGTTCTATCTTTGCAGGCCAAAAGCAAAGCGAAGAGTGCCAAACAGACGAAAATAATGCAAATGTACCGAAATTGTCTAATTAATCATTACATGTCTCGGCAAGTGTGCGTTTTATTCCAAAGTTTACTGCATATATCATCGATTTAAATATGCTTTTCATAGGGGTGGTCATTGCGGTTTGCAAGCGAATGAAAATAATAACGAAAGTCCCACGATAGACAAGACCGCAGGAAAAAGCTTCATGACTGGAAAGCTAATGAGTAAGGAAATGGGCGAAGGTAGGGGCTTCGAATGGGGAGTACCCTGGGAATATATAATACTATAGTATCCAATTTCTATTCTGGTAAACTTCATTTCCTTTGTTTCTACAGGGTAAGCCGAAATGTTTATGCCAAATTCATGTTTGCGCTGCGGTCAGCTCTAGGCCAGCCAACGAAATATGCTTTTTGGCTTTAGAACTTTTGCTACATATTTGCTTTTAATATTTTTTTGGCCTTTTATTTATTTTTCGCAACATTTTGTTGATATACGGGCAGCGACTGCATTAAAAGTTTGATGGGCGAGACAAGCGGAAACTGCGTCGCAATTTAGAAAATATTCAAAATTGGATTACAAATTCTTAATCAAATTGACATCTTTTCACATTCGGCTCAGCCAGCAATGTTAAATTGCACTGAAATTGTCCTTCAAATGGTATTGAAAAGTTGGTCTACTTTCTGCAGATTTTCAATGACAAGAATCTAAAATAAAATTGGCATTAAAGAGTAGGTATGTTCACTTTAATCTTAGCAAAGTCAGCGATATATTTTTTAGATCACAGTAATCAGTTATCAAGACACTCCCTTTTCAATTTGAAATCCCTGCAATGGCTTACCGCCAATTCCCTCGTCCTCGAAATCGCAGTTCACCACAAATGAATCCGCGCTGACGGCTCCATC